TGGCAATCTAAATGTGACCTTGAAATTGACCTTTGACCTACTTTTTATCATGAACTGAACTCTGCTAATTTCTTTCTCTTTTAACTTCAAACTTGACAGAGATAGGTCCATAGTTACTCTTGAACTTGAATAGGAAGTCATATACTGGCAATTTACTGTGACCTTGAAATTGACCCTTGACCTACCTTACGAAGAACTTAAATTTGATTGTACCATATATATTTTTTGCAATAGTTTAAAAATTCTTGTTGATTGCATTTTTACAGCTTGTCAAGCACAAAACTGGTGGCTATGTCCCTTATTTTGTGTATGTGGGGGTCTATACGAATGCGCTTGCTCCAGCTGGTGGTACAATATTCGGAGGCGGTATCGCCTCTCTGATCCTCTAGTTCACTTACTGTAGTTGTTGGTGGGAAATGTCTTCTGCATTATACACTGGGTAAATACATAAAAATTCAAATAATAATAATGATGATAATAATAATAATATCAACAACAACGGTGGAAGTCTATGGTTTCTTCAGCTCCCTAATTTGACCTTGCTGTTGATAATGGCAATCTCAAACTAAGGAAGGATATCACTTTTGCTGTTTTCTATTTTGAAGTTTTTTTCGTTATTTGATACTAAGTTTCTAAGGCATTTAGTTTTTGGACATTTTGTGAATATATTTGATTCTTTAAATTTTATATTCTTTTCCCAGGCAATAAGACCCCTGCCACAGGCGTTGGATTTATAGATGATGGAAGAAGCTTGTCTTGGATGGAACTTGAACAAAAGGTGGCAGCAACTGCATCCGGCAAACCTGGCAAAGTGCCAGCCAACTTCAAGCCCAGTGTCCAGTGCTTTTCTGACCTCACGAACAACAGTTCACACCCTGTGGCAGTCATAGGGGGTAAGTAGATTTTTTTTGACTGAAAATCAAAAATATTTTCAAGTTGAAGTTTTTTCTTTTCATTTGCTTTATTTTGCATTGCACTTTAAATCCATTAGGATTTTTCGTTTCTAGATTAAATCATAATAAATTTAATTGTCACAATCCTTGTTATAAATTGGCATATGGCAGAACTTGATTTATTTTCAGTGAAACAATATATCAGTATATGTATTCATTACAGAACCCATCTTTGTGGAGATTACATTGGTCAATCCACTGAAGATTTCACTGGTTTTGACTGACATTGTATTACTGTGGAGTTTTCTACCTCATGTGGATGAAGAGCAAAATCAAGAAAAGCCCCCACAGTTGATCACCAATGAACATGTAGAAACTGGCAAAGTAAGTGACCATATTGTAGAATATGCCTCTTTATGGTGATAGTGTTTGAAAAGAAATACTTTGTGTAAGATCTCCCATAAGTACTCCCAGGAACAGAGACTTTCACATTGACTTCTGTTATTTGAACTTTGTAATGAACTTTGTAATGAATTTTTGGTGCAGTTGCATTCATATATTTATGATAATCGCTTATTTTTTTCTGTTGCTGTTCATTTTCATTATCTGTGTTGATACTAGAGCCACAGTTTCTGAGCCATATTTTAGATATTATAGCATATTTTTGTTATTTACTCAAATATAGTCCTGCATGACACTTTCATTTTATTCCCAGAAAACTTTAGCCAATGAACTGGTAGAGAGTGAGGTGATTCCAGAGCTAGTTCTGGAGGCACTGATGACAGAGCCTCTTCAGTTGTCTGTGATTCCTAAAAAAGAAGGAGAGCTTCACATAACTGGAATCGCCTATAACCTGGGTACAAGCAGTTCCAGCACAAACACCACCAGTGGCAATGTTATTGCCAATACTGGTGAGCAGAAGCAGAGTTTTATCAGTGGTATCTCTGTAAGAGGGAAGCAAGTGATAGAGGTGCAGGGGCCTCGCCTCAATGCTTCCAAAGTGGAAAAGTGCAGCAAGATTTATGGCCCCGACAGGAGACTGGATGTGCGAATGGTGCCAAAGATGCCTCTGTTAGAGGTAAGGGACTTTAAATCAATTTTTAAAAAATTTTTTTATTGTGAAAAATGAACAGAACTACAATTAACCAATGTAACTTTAAATGAAAACATTATTTGTGAGAAAACTAATCTGTTTAATTAGTTAGTATTTAAAGTTCATGACTTTGCTTCAAATAGCATCGCAATATCTATATAATTATCACTTAAATCTTATATAAAAGTGACTGCAGTGTCAAAAAATTTTTATTATATTTTAAATATTTCAATGATTTTGAATTATAATTTGGTTTGTGACCCAGACTGTCTTCATGTGATGTAGATTTGTATCTGTATATCTCTTATACCTATTGTATCTTTTTTTTTTACACCTTCATTTTCTCTCAGGTAAACTTGTATGGTGTTCCCCAGACAATGATGTGTGGAGAGGTCCAACAACTGACAGTTGAGTTCATCAACAGGGGCCCTCTCCCTTTACACAAACTCTACATGGCCTGCTCCCATCCAAAATTCTGTACTTTTGGGAGCTCTGACACCCTCCCGCAGGCCTCTGCTTTATATCAGTACAACTCCCAGCAGACAGGGTCAGCAGTGCACAATGAACTTCATGTTGTAAAGGAATTATGGGCAGAGGACGCTCAGCAGGTGCCCTTAAAACGTGACATTTTAGACCCAGGGGGAGTGGTCAGTGTCCCACTGTGGATTAGGGGACTAGATATCAATGGAGTCCATAATGTGGATTTTCTGTTTTATTATGAACCAGTTGATAGAAAATGTCCATTGATGAGGTGAGTTCATTTCTACGATGTATATATTTTAAATGGTGTAGAATTTTTTTTCTTTTATCAAATCTTGATAAACATGAGATGCAGGCTTTATATTATGTGTATTATATATTTATATTATATGTGGTGTGTGTATTTCTTTTCATTGGTAAATGTAATTTGACCACTCCAGGCACCGAGTTGTCCGCCACACTGCTGTGATGAGGACCAGCAATGCACTGAAGCTGACCTCCACTGCCCAGAAGCTGCCTCCCAGTAAGAGGGGACAACTGAACAGTCTGGTGCTGGCACTGGAGGCGGAGAAGGTGAGTGTGCTGCTGGCACAACTAACACAGTGACTCCTTGATCGGAGTTACATTTGACTGCACAGTACCATACCATACCATACCATACCATGTGAAAGCCACAGTACACTATCCCATGAAGTACTATGCCAAATGATGGCTGCAATACATGTAACCACATTATACTATACTCGGGGGCAGATCAAGAGGTATTTTCTGACAGTCTTCCAAATTATCATTGTTGATCCATCCTTCATTTTTGACCGTTTTCCAACAGAAAGAATAAGATTCTCGTCAAGGCAATGTAAACTTGAAATCTGACCTTCTTCAGGAAGACCCAGAAGACAGCTTCAATCCACCCCTAATACTGAACTGTACCACAGCATGCCATATAATATGAAACCTGCAGAACACTATATCCTACAGTGTACTGGCTGCTGTACACTATACCATAACACACAATATAATAAACAAACCATGTCATACCATACACTATACCATAAGGTACACTACAATACCATACTGTGTAATAGCTGCTGCCCTCCTCTGTTCCAGGTGTTTGATGCCAGTGTGCTGGAGGTGAGCTTACTGCAGGTGTCCTGTGCCAGCCCCACCTGGACACTGCATCACCTGAGTACCAGACCACATACAGGTGAGTTCTATAAGATAATATACACCTGGACACTGCATCACCTGAGTACCAGACCACATACAGGTGAGTTCTATAAGATAATATACACCTGGACACTGCATCACCTGAGTACCAGACCACATACAGGTGAGTTCTAGAATTCATTCACACCTGGAATAAAGTGGATTTTATCATTTTGAACACTGTTGTATCCCAGTGTCAGGTCAAACAAGCATACACATATGCACGCAGGCATGCACGCACGAACGCACGCACGCACGCACGCACAGGGATTAAGCATTTAATTTGTATTTTAACCTAAAAGCAGTTTTTACCTGTTCATAAATATCAGATACTGAGAATGACACTTGTGAAGTATTTGAGTCACTATCTTCATTTCCACTTGCTTATTATTTTTTGACGCCTTTTATGATTTATTGAGAATAATAACTTGTATACATTTCAAATAGTTGTTGCTTTGCTTTAACATTAAATGAATAGAAACTTGGAACAAAATGCAGGATTTTAAAGTGATCATTCTTGTTAATTACAGATATGAANGGTACACACACACACACATCCACACACACACACACACACACACACACACACACACACACACACACACACAGGGATTAAGCATTTAATTTGTATTTTAACCTAAAAGCAGTTTTTACCTGTTCATAAATATCAGATACGGAGAATGACACTTGTAAAGTATTTGAGTCACTATCTTCATTTCCACTTGCTTATTATTTTTTGACGCCTTTTATGATTTATTGAGAATAATAACTTGTATACATTTCAAATAATATTTAGTTGCTTTGCTTAATCATTAAATGAATAGAAACTTGGAACAAAATGCAGGGTTTTAAAGTGATCATTCTTGTTGCTTACAGATATGAAGTTAAGTGCCACAGAGTCATTATTGATGTCATTTAAGGCCACTAGGTGTCAGGACTGTGCTGCAGGTAATTTTTTGTGATGTTAAAATATACTAGTGCTTGTAACTTTGTTCATTGTTACTCAGATGACATGACTTTTAAAATTTTTTTTCTGTAATAGTTAACCAAAGGATTTTTTTTTTTGTTTTTTTTTACCTTTTACCAAATCTGCTTTTTCAACCAAATTGATTTTTTTCAAATAAATTGTCATTTTTTTATTACAGTGTCATCATCAAAGCTGATTTTCTCAGATGTCACATTTGATCAGCATCAGGTAAGAATTCAAAGTGATTTATGTAACCACAGCAGAAACCTGTTTAAATATAAGTTTTACATCAGCAATTATCATGATATTATAAAGAAAATAAATAATAAAAACAAAACTGTCATCATCTTTCAGATCAGTAGCACAGGCAGCCCATGCTGTGATTTCTGCTTTAAGTCTCGCCAGACGTGGAAGTTGGCATCAAGTAGCAGCGAGGGGGATCCTTCTATACCCCAGACCACGCCCACCCCACCGTCACAGGACCAGGGTCTGGAGGACCTGGCACATATAGATCTTAGTTTAATTGTTCTCTGGAAGGTGAGGATCAGGCACATATAGATCTTAGCTCAGTTGTTCTCTGGAAGGTGAGGATCAGGCACATATGGATCTTAGCTCAGTTGTTCTCTTGAAGGTGAGGATCAGGCACATATAGATTTTGGCTTAGTTGTTCTCTGGAAGGTGAGGATCAGGCACATATAGATCTTAGCTTAGTTGTTCTCTGGAAGGTGAGGATCAGGCACATATAGATCTTAGCTTAGTTGTTCTCTGGAAGGTGAGGATCAGGCACATATAGATCTTAGCTTAGTTGTTCTCTGGAAGGTGAGGATCAGGCACATATAGATCTTAGCTTAGTTGTTCTCTGGAAGGTGAGGATCAGGCACATATAGATCTTAGCTTAGTTGTTCTCTGGAAGGTGAGGATCAGGCACATATAGATCTTAGCTTAGTTGTTCTCTGGAAGGTGAGGATCAGGCACATATAGATCTTAGCTTAGTTGTTCTCTGGAAGGTGAGGATCAGGCACATATAGATCTTAGTTTAATTGTTCTCTGGAAGGTGAGGATCAGGCACATATAGATCTTAGCTTAGTTGTTCTCTGGAAGGTAAGAATGTTAATAGCAGAAAGCTAACTGCAGAGCATTAAGAAATTGCCTAAGATTTTCGTTAACGTTCACAAACTGGCAATTACTCATTTGAAAGTTAGACTGTAGAAAGCAAAATAATGCTCGATTCTTACCTTGATTATGACACCTGTTATGATTTTAAGGAGTCCTTAAAGTCTTTGAAACTGAAACTTTGAATTTGGTCATGCTGCTTAGAAAATATTTTGAAAACAATGATTGACCTTCACTTGCTTTGAATGGCTGACCATGAACTGAAAGCAAAACTTTTAATATAGGCAAGATTTTTCTCTATCTAGATCTTGCCCAGTCCAGCTATTCATTTTGTTCATCAATATTATCTTCATATTCAGTTCAAGGTGGTGACAGAGAGTGGTGCTATAGGGACAATACAGGGACAACATCACCTCCATATAGACAGCCTGGATACCCCAGCCTACTCCCCTGCTGTGAGCAAGGTAGGGACAAATATATACAGAGATTGAAATATACAGAATTTAAAAAAATTGTCCAAATTGTAAGTCCAGTATTAGATTTAATAAAAACTTCCTTTTTGTGAAATATATCAAATGTATCCTTTTTGTGAACTGGACAAATCCATAGAATTATGCAGAAATTGATAATTTGCCTTAACATATTTTTGATATTGTGAAAAACTGAAATTAATTTGAGTATAACTTGTAAGTATCTTGGCAACTGAAGGATATTACAAAACAGCTATGTTTATTTTAACTGTTATATCTGATTTCCCAGCTGTTTTTACCCCTGGATAAGATTTTACTTGTTTTATGTACATTGTTTAGTGTATGGATTCTATAATTTCCCTGGTATTTTAATAGGTAAATAAACTTTGCCATTTAATTCCATGCATACAGGTGCCTGTAGAGCATGCCCCAGTGAAAATAATCAAGGACCGCGCCCCTTCATTGCCAAGCCACCCCAATCCTGAACTGGTTTCTCAGCTACTCAAGATATGCTTACGGCACAATATGACAGTACTGCATAATTTCCACAAGAATAGGTGAGTTAGCATATGCGGATAAGAAAACATATTACATTTATCCATTGTACTGTGTAATTTATTTTAGGAAGTGAGAAATTGCATTATATATGTTATTTTGACTGTGGTGCATAATGCCAGGTACTTCTTCATTTTCACTAATTTGAATGTGATGCAATGTGAGGAATGTTGAGCACTTTGTCTCAATAATTTGTCAAAGGGCTGTCCTTTTATGAAGACCTGTTTTTTTTTTTTTTTTTTTTTCTTAGAAAATATAACTTATGGTATTTGCTTTAATGTCTTTAAACTTGTGTTAAAATTTCAGATGAAGGGAATGCTGCTTTATAACTCATTTAAAAGTCAAATAATTGTGTTGTCTTATATTTGTCAATTCAAACCCCTTATTATTGTTTATTTCAGGCTGTGTTACATGCCAGTTAGTATAGTGCTCCATAACACTTCACAGAACACAGTGAAAGTTGATATGTCTTCCCGTGAACCCAGCTCACACAGGTACTATCTCTCTCTCTCTCTCTCACACACACACACACACACACACACACACACACACACGCATGCACACACATGCACATTTTACTTAATGTATTATTCACTTACAGGTAACATAATTTGTTTATATGACAGAACAAGTAGACGAGATAGGTGGCCATTCTGTGTAATATTTCAATAATATTTCATACTCATTCCAGATCCCATGCTGAATCCACAACCTCTGACATCATCCTGGAGCCAACATCGTCAGGTTTCAGCTGGTCTGGAAAAATCCACAGCACACTCCAGCTCCAGCCCCTAGAGACACACACACTTCACCTGGTGGCCTGTTTCAACTCCCCTGGAGTGTACAATTTGAATAGACTCCAGGTGGCAGCAGGTGTATTGAGGGAGTCCAGTGACCTTGACATTGATATGGTTGTACAGAAACATCCAGCGCCATCTGTTGCCATAGTTAAACAAGAGCCTCTTACGTCAAGTTAGGTTCTTGTTTGTGAAAGAAGATGAGAAGACATGGATAGGAGGTTCAGTTGAGACGTAAATGGAAGATGTGCTTCTTGAAATTTGTTCATGTATGAAAAAAAAAGATTCATGCTGTTAAATGGTATTCTGCTTCATTGTGGTAAATAACAGTCAAAAGATGGGAGTGTGCAAAAATAATTGCCTTGTTTTCTTGTTATTGCTGTGAAACATGAACTTTGCCTTTTGCAGTTTATGTGATAATTGGTCAGAATGTATTTGTACAGTCTGTCTGGGAGGCAAAATATGATTTTGTAAATTTGAAAGTTTTGTCAAGATCTTAGGTAGGAAATGAAAGATTTGTTTAATTCAGGGTTTTAAATTGCTGAAAATTAACTGTTGAGTGCAATTCTAAATCTTCAATATAAAATGTGGAACAATAATTTTTAATGAAAACTTATATTTCTTGAACAATTACACATCTGCGAAAGTTTGTGATCAAGTTGTTGGTATCTTTTCATCAGTGAATTTTGTGTATTTAGACAGCAGTGCTTGGCAATGGAAATAACTTGTATGTTATTTTTAAAGTGCAACAACGTGTACATAGATATGTAAACATCCCATTGGATTTTTTATTCCCTGTTGGTGCAAAAAGGTTATTGTGTTACGAACATTTCAATGTCATACATTGTTATATGAATCTGTGAAGTGCTACCCAATAGCACACAAACATGTAAGAATTCCAAGTATATTACAGAGCATCACTGCTCTACATTGCCATAAGGTATGTTAATAAGTTAATAAGTCTTTGGTAGACGAAATAACTACCAAGCGGTGTCCAAGTCAAAGCTTCGTTTTTATATGCTTGCATTAGTCAAACCAGAATAATGTGTTTCAAAAGAAATTGTAAAGGATAGAAAATGTTACGGTTGAATGACAGAAAGCCTGTTTGTTTGTGTATAAGTGTGTGTGTAAGGCAAAGAGAGGAGAGGAGTTTTATGTGAATTAAAAATTCTCAATTGACATTTTTTTCTGGGTAATTTAGTATAACTACATAATACTTGCACAACCAACAACGGACCCATAGTGGTAATATATAAGCTGCTGACTTCATGAGCAATGAGTTACGTCCGCTTAGAAAAGATCAATTTATTCATTTACCAAAAAAAAAGCTTAAAATTTGTTTCGATTTCTGTTAAAAAATGTTTCCGATTTCCGAAACTTGTGAATTAAGTGGTGTTTTTCTATATCAGTTGAAAATATCTCGTAATTCATTGTGTTAACGACTTTTCTTTATGCCATCCTCCAGAAATGCGGTAGGTTATAGGTTGATCGTTCCAAGCTATTTATATGTCTTCATCTTGATATCGTGTCGATGCCTATAAACTGAGGGAACGTTTGTTATTGGTTGTTTATTTATGACGTCAGAGATGATATAATTTAAGTATCTGATAAGGATTTACTTCTGTATTTTGTTTCCACATAATCAAAGCGTGATCAAGGAAATCTTCGTGGCTAAGGGTTGTTTGTTCGTTTTATTTTCTAGATGGCATGCGGTCAAGGAACCCGTTCAAAGCAGAGATAGTTGTCAAAGATTGTAGTAAAAACGATAAGAATGTAGCTTCGTGAAGTGTTCTTTAATATACATGTACAGCGAGTACCCTACTAATAGAACAAATTATATACAGCAACTTAAATAGACAATTTAACTACCAGAACTTGCATGTTCAATAAGCCTTTGGTATAAGAATGACAATGAGTAATCTGGCCGCTTGCTACTTTCTAATTAAGGTATTTAATATGATTCCAGACTGATAAATATGTTTTCGGGTATTCTGCTGTGTGATGTTTATGGGCAATGGCGTAAATGGAAATGTATTTAAGATTTAAACAAGTTTTCTATGCGTATTTGTAAATACTAAAAACCGTGGATCATTTTCACATTTCATCTGTAAATGTTTTCAATGATGATTCAGTTTACAATAAGATACATTTATCTGGACTCAACGTTTTCTGTGTTTGATGGCCTCTCCCACTAGAAGAAAAAAAATGCAATGTGTATTTCACATATTAATTTAAGTAGTCTTTTAGACTGGTTTTCTCAATTAGTATGATCCTGCGAATCCTCCGTATTTAAACCCTTGTTGCACTGTGCTTGTGACCTCTTCGAGAATGTCATTTTACCCAGTCTCACGCCCTTTAAAGTGACGATTTGTGTTTGTCAGCATTGCATTCATAGAGCCAAGTTCAAGAGCTTAAAATATTGTAGAATTTTCTCTTGCTACAAATTTTGTGGGAGTTGGTCAAAATCAGTACCCCAAGCGATGGAAAGCACGCTGTTACTGGAGTTCTAGCACTGACATCAAACCGATTGAAATTCATAATATTACGTGCAATTCGAAAACAAATAAATAGATAGATATAAAGGGGGTTTAATTTGAACACCGATACCACAGATGAAGATCAAAGTGAGGCATAGAAATATTTCTTTAAAATCACAAAAAAAAGTACTTTACGGTAGCCTAGAGCCCCACACAAAGTTTGACCTGAAACATCGACAAAGCACCCCGATTTTAGTTACTGTTTCTTAAATTCCTTCATCTTTCACTTTTGGTTCCCGAAAAAAAAATTTGGTGCGGGGAAGCAACGGTGCGGGGACGTAAAATGCAGAGGAGTATCGGAGTGGTGACGTAACGGTAAGGGGGAGTATAGGTATAGTATGGGTATAGGTATAAGAGCATGGGTATAGGTATATAAGTATGGGTATAGGTATAAGAGCATGGGTATAGGTATAGAAGTATAGGAGTATAGGTGTAAGAGTATATGTAGAGGTATAGAAGTATGGGTAAAGGTATAGGAGTATGATTACAGGTATAGGAGTACGGGTAAAGGTATACATATAGACACTTAACCAGCACAGTAATTCAATTGACTTTAACTTCTGTACTGAAAACACTGCATGATGCGTAAAATTAGCACTGGGACAGCCTGGACAAAATGGCCGCGTTCCTGCTGCAGATGTCCAGTTCCCATAGCTTTCTCAGTGCGGAGAAGAGATAAGAAAATTAAGGCTCCAACAGGTTGTTTCTAATTTTGGTTCATTTGTAGCGCTTTATTTTCAATCTCCCACAAGATTGTATTTAGTCTTAGGCTTCTTATGATAATAATACGCACACGTAAATTCGTCCACATATTTCTGAATGTTTTTGAAATATTTTCTCCCCAAAATATGTTAGGACATTTCCCGCAGCAAGCCTCTCTACCAACTGTCACAGTCAAGGACACCCCTCATCAAACATGGTTGCAAGGATTTTCAACGTTCTGTTGCTAGTAAAAGTGACCGCACTCTCTGTCCTCGAATACAATACCAGCTTTGCCCAAGTCAGCAGCCCGACAAAACTGACAGAACTGAACAGAGGAATTTACGAAATTGGAGAGAAATTGCATAAAGAATGTCCTTCCTTTTTCGACAGAAAGCTGGCTGAAAATTTGCTTATTCTGGGCAGACGACAGACGTCAGAAACTGCGTCCATATTGAAGAAGCGCGACGCCATGTTAGACTTGGAGCTGAGACTGGCTGAGAAGACTTTAGCTCATTTGACGAAAGAGTATGAGACTTGTGTAAAAGGTACAGTGAGTAGCCATCTATCAAGAGGCATAGGAAACTTGAAAATCCCAAAATTTACCATTTTTGAAGTTTTTCATTGTTTTAACCATATTCATTGTCTAGGGTCTCTGGGTGAGTGGTGGCATCTTTAGGTGCTTTTTTTATTATTGAAATGTCTCGTCATTTATATCTGCCATTCAATTTCTGTTGCAGCCGTTTTCGACTTTATCCACATCTGTTTAGATTCCAATCCTTTCATGCATAATGTAACATATTTCAACAGACTTACAGCACACCCCTTTCACTCCTCTCAAACATGAGAATTCTCCTCCTCGCGAAGGATTCCCTTCTTCTGTTCGATGTGTACATGAGTGTTCAGTTATTTCACAGATTGTTCGTGTAATATTTACAACAGTGACGATGCTTGGGAAGGTGAGGGTTATCCACCGTCTTTGCCAGTTTCCTTATTCCTGTATTTAGACAAAAAATCATTTAACTACAATTATGTTTTTATTTTCGAAATATCTATTCTTTTCAGGGCGCGACCCCTGTGCCAGCTCGCCTTGTTTAAACGGCTCCACTTGCTACGTCTTCAGTGGGAACGTATGGTGTGAATGTGTGTCGGGGTTTGGCGGAAAACACTGTGAAAAAGGTGTGTGCCTTAAAAAGAGACCTCTTTTAAAATAAGTGCAACTAGCTATCCGATATCGGTGATAAGGATAATACATGTGAAAGCCTTACAAATCAAGAAGAATAAAAAGTTTTCGTGTGAAAAATGAGCCTTTTCTTCCTGGCACCTGGTCTGTATTGAAAATTGTCTATAATCTATTTTTTATTTGTGGTTTTTTCGTTTGCTTCACTTTTATTTCTTGATTATACTTTGCACCCATTATACATCAATGGGTCAATGATTTTACTAGTACAATAATAAAAAAATATATTTTGTTTTTTTTCGTGAGTATATAATTGTTCGTGCTTGAAATACGAGCTGATTTTAAATTGCTCTAGACTGGCGAATAGAAAGCATAAATAATTTTAATCTCGATTATATATAGGCCTGTGTGTATGTGTGTGTGAGTGCGTGTGCGTGTGCCCGCGTGTGTGTGCGTGTGAATGTGTGTTTGTGTGTGAGTATGTGGATGTGTACATGTATGTTTGTGTGTGTATATTGCCTTTAATGCCTTTGTCTTTTGTCATCAGAAATATAGACAATATGAGAAATTGGGAGGTAATTGTTTCGTTATTATCTCTTTCCAGATCTAGATAACGCAAAGTAAAGGGACACAGAGTGCTGGTCCTCTACACACAATGGATGATTGGATGATTACAAAGTTCATCGAACTTATTTACTGTGAAATATCACATCATGTATGTTTTCTGCCACACAAAGTGATATTAGAATTAAACAGTTGTAACCGAATGCTGTAGTCTTTTGCGAATTAGCTAGGCGCGATGAAAGATTGCGTTTTTTAGGTTTTTTTGTGTAGCATAGAATGAAAGAAGTTCTGCAGATGTCATTAACGTTACAGAAAACACCTTATATAAATCACTTTAATATATTTTTTTTCAGAAAAGAAATCACCGTAAAACAATCATGCTAGAAATAGAATTCCATTATATTTGTATCCGTCTTGAGCAACCACTCCTTCAGTATATTGCCTCACATCCTGGTGTACTGTGCGGTGCTAATTTTACATCACGACTGACACGCCGTCAAGGAAAGAATTGAAAATAATGTTTTTTCCATTTCCGCACGGATATCAATACCTTTGCAACTGCTTTTTGTGTACACATTTTTTTTTTTTTTTGAAGTCTCACCTCTCTTTAAAAACATAATGCGTTCCACGACATACGCCAAATATTTTGAATTTTATTAAATTCGTTACAATTTGATGAAGATCATACGTAAGTACATAGGTGAAGTACGTAAAAAAGTTAAGAACACTCACAAACATAGACTCGCGTGTTCCCATTTGCTTTCTAATTACCACCAAAATATTTATATTAATCATAAATAGACTTACGTTGTCATTACGTTTAATGATTGCACAAAACAAGGTGCATGCATCTCACTACTTCTGTTTATCAAAACCATTCCCTACTCATTTCCCCTACTGTCTCCTACCTTCTCATTTCAATCCCAACCCCCTTCTTCGAGTCTCTTCCTAGACCCTAAAATCCTCTTAAAACCCTGATTATTCTGAAGTATTTCGTGACAGGTAAAAATAAGACCATCACCATGTACATGCACTGTTACCCCGTCATTTGAGCTTAACTGAACCACGTGTGCCTTGACCCTCGTCTCTCTCTTCTCAATGCCCTTTTCTTATTTTACTCTTCCTTACTTCTCTCCCACGCCCCGTATATAGCTGTTAATCTCGGGCAGTTTAAACGCGTTTCATGACAGGTAATAGTTAAAATACAGACAGGTACATAAACAGGTATCCAAGCTTAACCCAACCACGCGTGACAGAGGACATTCCAACNAAGGCATGATAAACGGTAAGGCACAGAGCCATATTTTCTTTAAGCACAATAACATATCAGGTGAAAGCATTGATGGCGGGCAGCCAAGGAGACGCATGGACGGACACAAGACGGGATGGACACGGGACCCTTCTTCTGTTTTTAACTCCAATAAAATGTTAATTTATAGCCCATTACATGTAAATTTGTAAACTTAAAATACCGCTGACAAGTAAAACATGGCTGTTAAACGTTTTAACTCAGTGGTGCCCTGAGGCTGGTCTTAGATAATCGGAGTTACGATGTAAGTCAAGTTGATTATATGAAACCATACACTTTTATATATATATTAATCTAGATGACGAAAATGTTACCAGAAATAAGATCAAAATGGCTTTAGCATTGTTGTGAACTATTCAAACCATGAAAATTACCTCCGCCCTCATTCAGGTATGAACTGTATATGTACATAATTATGCACATTGTCCCAGAACGGACAAAACAGGTGGCGATTTCATTTCAATATCAAAAAGATTTTAAAGAAGTAAATATGTGTAAAAACCCAGAGCATCAGGTGCACATCCTGCTGAGGAAGGTACCTTCATTATCCCACATGAGGGTCTGTCGTTACCACACGTTTGTATAAATTCCATGGGTTGTAAGTGCATTCTCAGGTCTCAGGTATGCTATATAGCGGTCTTCGCATACTTTGTATTGTTGTAAGTCAATGAGAGATGTTTTGATGAGCGCTTTCCAAGGCGTGATTGTGGGTTGAAGCCGGTGACTTGCCGACTTGTATCTTATTTTTATTGGAGACGTGGTGCACCTGTTACTGAGATGACTCTCACTCTCTCTCTCTCTCTCTCTCTCTCTGACAAACACACGCACAAGCACACACGCTCATTAAGCAGCTATCGTTCTTCCTTAAATGCAGACTACTAATGTAAAAAATACACCTACAAATGTCCTAGACCAAATTTAAAACCAAACCACCATCACACAAAGTGACTTGCGTATTCTCGCCACCATATTCAGTGACATATTAATTTAGCATCTAAGAAACGACATTAATATCACCCCAATCCGCACTGTCACCCACCGCACATTTATATATATGTCACCACCCACAGTGTCCTAGACAATAGGCCTATATACAGCCAATGTTTCACCCATCTCTCCCCTCTCCGCAACGTCATAAACCGTTACAAGGTGCATCTTCCCTATCAGTACTTTGAAAGGGGGTGCAATAGCAAGGTATTGGAACCCCCTCCCCCTTCCTCCCAACACATAGGAAGCCGGGTTCACAGTTTTTTTAAACTTTTTGCCACACATATACTGGTATAAGGATCGACATTTCTTAAAGATCTTATTTTAGGTGAATAAAGTTAAGGACACCCCGCTGTTGCTAGATCCGAATAGAACTTTTTAAGTTATTTATATAAGAAATAAAGATATCTTGAGACAGAAAAGGCAGATAGGTTATATATTATATATACTTACTAGTAAATCTTGGATCAAATTAAAACCATATTTGTGCTTATCTGATGTGGTATATGAGCCTATTAATTACACCATTAGAGTAAAGAAGGCTAACTCCCATTTAATGTTACTCTATCTAAGGAATAAAACTGAGCTGTTTCGGTGTTTTTGCCTTTTCGCCATTTCCCTAGTCTATTAAAAATCAAATAAATGAGGCTTTCAGTCTTCCCGTAAAAGCTATATATTATTTTTTATTTTCAATAAATATCATGTATATCACAACTCTCCAAAACAAAATATTGTCAGTATATAAGTCAGGATAATGTGTAAAAATATGTCTTCACAATTAATTAGGTCTAGCACATGTATATTCTTCATGGAAAATGTCTTCATTTACTATTTTCGTAGATTTCATGTGTAAATATTGCATTGAGGATAGAAATGTTTCTGTCCTCACAATTAGTATTAGGACTAGTATTTGGATAATTTCCATAGAAAATATCTGGCTTCATTTACTGGTTTATTAGAGCTCATTAAATATTGTTTTGTGATCCCCTGTCAGTGAAAAGCTGCAAAGCCAATGTTTCCCGTCAACTTCTACCCTACATGGAATGAGTTTTATATTGTATTGTATTGCATTGTATTGTATTACATTGCATTGCATTGCATTGCATTATATTGTATTGCATTGCATTGCATTGCACTGTATTGTATTGTATTGTATTGTATTGTATTGTATTGTATTGTATTGTATTGTAATTTCTTCCAGACATGTAGCAATCATGGGGTCTACTCTGCCGTGGGTGCCATGGGCACTGGTCATCGCAGGTCTGGTTTGGTTCGCGCTTGCGCAGGCGCAGCAGGACCCACCAAACTCCTGCATCCCCCGGGAGAGATACCTCAGAATTCCTGGTGATGCTTACATAACGGCACTCCTAGACATACACCACCCAGACCCGGGGAGGCCGTGGAGGTGTGGCACGGGGGTGAACAAACGGGCCGTCTTAGAACTGGAGACAATGCTATGGGCAATAGATAGGATTAACACGGCTGGGTATTTTGGAGCCGGGAAACTAGGTGTGTTTTTAATCTCCGACCACCGGGCGTGCTAGTAGTCTGTTACAAAAACGTTGAAAAGTGGGATTTTGTACAGTATTTTAGTAGGGGTGTAATATCAGAGGGAATAGTATGTATTGTACACTCACATCACTTTCTTTCAGAGGACCTTCTAGCTGTGACTAAAATCTCAAAATTTGTTGAAGAATTTATAAGAGCTTGAACAACTAAGAGCGAGTACACTTTAACAGTACCTAAGGGGGCGATTTCCCCTTTATTTTGTACATTCTAAACTTACTGACTGCTACAATATTGCTATTAATTGATGACTGCCCAACACACATATGTCAATATTAGGTAGATGTATTGGAAACAACAAACACGCAATGTGTAGAATTTCTAACTAATTGACAACGAACTCATTCCACCGTTTTACAGTCTAAATTAAAACAGGTTTCAAACGGCGGGCATTATTCTTCAAACATATCAAGGCTGTTAAGTTGCAAGTTTGAGACGTGTACTGTCTCGCACCCCTCACACACAGTAACTGATGTGAAACAACACCTTAGTCTAACTGGCGAGATAAAAATACTCTAAAAATTACCCAACATGTCTCACTTACAGGTTTGGAGGTATACGATACATGTGGATTGAAGAATGATGCCGTACAGTTTGCCAGTGACAAGCTCTCATTTCTGTACGACTGCACGACCTCCTGTGCTGTGAACGGCACTTTTCTGGGCCTGATAGGACCATCCAACTGTGATGCAGCCGATGCCGTGGCCACATTAATGAAGGGAAGAAATGTCACACAGGTGTTGACGTCAGAGTGCTCAAAACAATACGTCACAAGTGACGTCACAGCATACCCTTCTCTTTTCCGGACATTTCAACGACCTAAAACAAGGAACGAAGTGAGTTTGCTCATAAGTGAATGATAATGTGCATGTACTCTTAATTGTGTGTATAGATGCGTGTGCTCGTTTTTTAAGGTGATAATTAAATTTAGAATGAACTCTCACAAGTGAAAGACCAGTGTTTGGTTATAATCATGATATAGATCATTCTAAAGGTTTACCTATAATGATAGATAAATAAATAAACTCATATATCCTAAGAAATAGAAACGTTTTTCTTTCAGGCCCTGTTAGCATTGGTGAAGGACCTTCAGTGGTCCTTAGTAGGTGCAGTTTACACCAAAAGCCAGGAGTCCATAGAACAATTCCAGGAATTCAAAGAAATGGCCAATAAAAATGGCATATGCATTGGTCACTCGGAACCCGTCCTTCCTTCCATGAACATGAATAGTTTGGCACAGTGGGCGGGTGAAGAATATTTCGACTTGGGTTCAGCGACGGGCGCCAACATGGGAGTCGTGTACTTTGGAGACAATGAAATGTTAGTGAATATATTTACTGAAATACAAACCAGAAACTTAAACAGAGATTTGAAGAATTTACACTGGATTCTGTCCACGGATCAGTTTTCTTCAAAAGAACTGTCAGATATAGGGAGTTATGGGGAAGGAGCTATTGTTGTATCAACCATGTCTTTTTCTTTACAGCAAGTGACTGAATTTATTACCAAACGCATCAACGAAGGAGCTGTTGCAACGCCAGAAAATCCCTGGCTTAAAAATCTCACTACTTCTGATGTGGTAATTAGCGAAACGATGGTGCCATCGTTAGACGCTATATATTTGTATGCTAAAACATTAAAGGAGACGGGGGCTAGTCTCTGCTCTTTAAATAGTGGGAACATATGCCCAGAAGTTAACTACAATAGCATACGACAGCGCTTTGAAAACATACGTGTATTATATACCGACCTAGGTGACATGGCACCAAATGATTTTGTGTCCACTGATAGGAATATATCGTTTCAGTATGACCACCATTTACGAAGTTTAACAAACGATTCTCAACAACAGCTGCAACAGAATTATTTTCTTCTTGCGCGAAACTCTCCCCAGAATCTAAAACCTATTGGAAATTATACCGAAGAGGGAGGATTCTACTTTGTTGCCTCAGAACTTACAATTAGAACTTCATCCTGTGCAAGTATATGCACCAATTGTATTCAACAGGTGCGTCGAGATTACGACTTTTTCGTCAAAGAAGGGGATGTTTATATTTTAGCCTTGATGAAGCTACACAACAGAGCCAAAGACCCTTCGGACAAATATGGGTGCGGAGAGTACGATACCGTCTCCAACCCTTACCCTCAAGTGGAAGCTCTGCTCTTCGCTTTGGAAGAAATGTCCAACAAGACGGGGATCAACTTCGGGGCGATCGTGTATGACGCATGTGACAGTTCTGTCAGACTGACGAATATGCTTGGAAACTTTTTCAACAATGAGACGGGAGACCCACATTTTGCGTTGACCGTCAAGGGGAAGCCGCTGGACATCAACAAAGTCGTTGGGTGTATTGGCGCCTTCACGAGCACGGACACACTGACCGCTGCAGCGTTCTTGACTCATATGAAGCGTATTTTGGTGAGTTGAGGCGCATCATTAAAACCTTTATTTTGTTTCTAGATTAATAAAGTCGCCTGTGCCAAATACTGGTACTGTTAACGTTGATGTGACGAGGAATTACTTTCAACCGATGTGATATGTTGGCAAAATATGCAATGAGTGTAAAACTGCTTCTACATAAAACAAGTGGGCAGAATTTTGCATTAAATGCTTATGAAAATCATAAGTTTTCAAACTTGCTTTAAAGTCACTAGAACTTCAGAAAAGATCTCATTAATGCACTTTCACTATTGGTTCACTGAAAATGAAGATAACTTGTTGACTTTTTGCAGTCAATTGGTTTACGGCTGCAGTGACTGGTTTACATAATCAAGTATTGTAAACCACACAAAATTCAACAATTTATGTGACTTCATATTGATTTTTATGTGCCACAGGTCAGCTACTCCGCATCCAGTACCCTCTTAGACGACAGAAAGCGATTCCCATACTTCCTACGAACTCTACCATCTGACAGCAAGCAAGCTAAAGCCATTCTAGATATCATCAAACATTTAAAATCTAATTACGTGCATCTCGTGCATGTAGACAACGACTACGGACGCACGGGGGCCTCTGCGTTCAAAGACCTTGCCCAAGAGAATGGTATTTGTATAACTCAGTCTACTCCCAAAATCCTTGACTTAGACGGGGGAAATGCCATTGGGATCGCTGGGCAATTATTAGACTCAAACGATGCCAATATTGTTGTATTCTTTGGTGAAGATGATCACGCCATTAATTTCCTGTCCGGACTTAAGCAAGTCACAAGGGACATTATGAGACAATTTGTGTTCATTTTCTCCGAAGCCATCGCAGACGGGGAAGCCGAAATTCGGCGACAATTCCCTGATCTTGTATTAGGCTCCATATCGCTAAACGTGGACAATCAGCACAGGTGGCACACGTCATTTTACAACTACCTTTCCAAAAAGACTCCCGACTTCTCAGCTAACCCAATGTGGTTTAACGAATTCTGGGAACATAATTTTCAATGTAGTCTTGACAGCAGTTTCTCTAAAGACCGTAGTCTTTGTATGGGCAATGAACGCATTGCTAAAGCATCGGTGCTGACAGGAAATCCATGGGTTCCGCCAATTATAACCGCGGCGCTGGCGCTGACGCAGGGACTGTCCGAGCTTCAGTGCCTTACCCCCCTCTCCCAGTGCGCCGTAGAGGACATAGTATCCAGCGTCGCGGGCACGACGCTGCAGTCGGAGCAGGCCACGTCCTTCAGGCCGTTTGACGACAATGGGAATGGACTCATCGGATACAAAATATTTAGCTTTCAGAAAAACTCAAGTGGAACCATATACAAAGAGGTTAGTGAATTATTTGTGAATGTTACTTTTTTGTTATACAGATAAACCTAATTGTGATATTTTTGGATATTGATTTTCATTATCTACATTTTTTTTATTTATTTTAACAATCAAGAGGCGAATTCCAGACGTACGCAATTACACTGGTCCCTTGACAATGGGAAAACAATCACGTTTTTTATCATCTGACAAATAAATGTATTTCGCAACCTTCGATGTTGAATATTGGGATATGTCCATTGGAGTGGATTGTTGTATGTAATGTTAGCTCTTGCAGTGAGTACGTGAACATGCAAGCTAGTGTGTGTGTGTGTGTGTGTGTGTGTGTGTGTGTGTGGGCGCGCGCGTGCGTGTGTGTTAGTGTGTTTGTCAAGGTATTCATAGGAAGATCCTCATAATAAATTCACAGGTGGTTATTGTATTTACATTATCCGAAATTTTGAACCAATGAAAATTGTATTTACATTAACCGAACTTATGAACCAATGAAAATATGTTCGTGAGAGAACAGTTTCATTAGCTCTGTATGTATCAATTTAAATTATTGTTTTTCTTTTTATCAAGAGCTTATAAAATATGTGGGTATTACCTCCAATATTTCTGTGACTGTCAGTCACCATCATCAGGGAGTAAATGACTAGGGTCATTTCACCTGGAATGAAAATCCAGGTCAATTGCCCCTAATCACTGGCCAGAAATATTGGAGGTAATACCCACATATTTTATAAGCTCTTGGTAAAAAGAAAAACAATAATTTAAAAAATATGTTCGGTTGTAAAATAATGAATGTTCATTACAGGTTGGTTCTATATCCCCCAATGGCTCACTAGTTGGTCTCGAGGACAACGTATTTTACGCCAAAAATGGTGACGTCATCAGAGACTTCCAATCCACTTGTCAGGGAGCGGTGAAAGGCTGTGACTTTTGCGTAGTGAATGATGGAGAGAAAGAAGAAGGACAAGAGGGTCTCGTTACGGCTCTGGTACTGGTGTCTGTGGTGCTTGCAGTAGGCCTCGTGGCTGTGGCTGTGTTTTTGTATACTCGGTACAAAAACGGTAAGTAGGCCTACCTCTAAAGTACAGGGGTGATGCATTGTTTTTCACGTATAAGTGATGACAATAAGAATTACTAATTTAAAAGTCAGTAACACACTAATAAAATTAATGTAAGTACTTTGAGAAAATTTAAGAAAAATTGATAAAACATTTGAAATCTTTGTTTCAAATATGAGATGATTATATATATGTAGTCACTTTTAAAATATCATAATAAAGATTTTATTTGGCGAAAAAATTGGTTTCACCAGCTGTTATCTTATTTCTTTTTCAGACAACTGCCAAGTGATAGCAAGGAGTTGTCTGGTCATCCATCGCCCAACATCCTCATCCTTCAAACAAAATGGTGTCCTTCACAACGAGACTCAATCGCAAACTCCCATCCAAACGACAACACAAGATGACGCCGATATAGACTCCATCTACACGACGCCCGTGTCCGATAATTTCAATCGACTGGGTTTATTTTTTGGCCTTACTTCCAGCAGCGTGGACGGGAGCACAAGGAGTGCTGATTCTGACGTGGGTGCTGCCAATTACGGCCCTCCCCTACCAAAACGCAATAGCGAAAATGGCGGGCGGGGCCGAGCAAGCACTATGCCTTCAAGGTCGATCTCCTTGCCGCCAAAAGCGATGCGATCGTCTGCCGATGATTCCGAAGTTGAATCAGAACCTGCGTATTTACAGATGAACAGATCGGAACCGGGATTTCCCATCAAACGCCAGCGTCCGGCAGCAAGAGATCCCTTGTCAGGTCTTGCCACTTTACCTAGAAATAACAGAAACAGACATCTTCAAAGAAATACTCCAGACCGGGATAGTTTAGAGATGTATCGCCATTCTGAAAGTGTCCATTATCACTCCTCTCCCTTGATTGACCAATCACCGCCGGTCTCTCAACAGAAAAGTCGTCCATCAGACTCAGAACCGGTTCAGTACAGTACCTTGTCCATTCCCAGCACAAACGCGTACACTTCACCCCCGCGCGCCAGCGCACCAAGACCCACAGCTCTCTACTACCCGTCAAGTGACCGTCATCACACGTCTGGGGAGTCTGGCTCCAGCGGGCGTCTGTCCCCCATTCTTCCTAAACCCCAAGGGAAAGCTGCCGTACCGTCACACTATGACCCGTACCCGTATTCGTATGTTAACAATGCCTATAGCCCAGAGCCCGCACCTCAGGGGGACGACGGAAGTAAAAGCATTAGTTCCGTCATTCAGTATGAGAATCCGACACCGAATTTACGTCCTCACGCAGCCGGCATGATACCAAACTGGTTGGAGTCGCAAACTGATGGACTCAGGTCCAAATATGTGTGATATGCATACATATACCAGTACAAGGCAGCGTAAGCGTTTAGCTGCGAGCTCAGCTATCGACTTCTCAAGTCTGGTAGTCCAGTATGTTCCTAGCGTTTTCAGAGACGTAAGGAGGATATTAAACGATTTTCTAAGTTAGCGAAGGAGTGGCAGTGACCCAGTGGCGAGAAACTTGCGAAGCTGGCAGCGAAGCTGGTATCTCATATTGTGAACTGGACACGTGGTAATATCTTTATCATTGTGTACTTATCATGTGAAAATATGTACATCTTCATGTATCATCTAAAACAGAAATATTTATCATGGACGATTTAAGTTTGTAATAAGCACACTTAATGTTCTTATTTAATGATACGAAACTCTTTAAAAAAAGTATATGCTATTCTGTTAATGTATTCCACCAAACGTGTGAATCACTGTTTCTTTTATTTTCTCAATGATTAGCTCATCTGCATGTTCTTAAATCCTTCTTGGATACAGTTTTTTTTAATGTAAGCAACTATAGAAAGGGTGTTAGTGCAGCATACAGAAATTCGAGCGTGTATGTTCACCCTACGTGCAGCTGTCAACTGGGACTGTCACTGCTATTACCTCTGCCATTTATTAAGTGATCGATATCATTGTTATTTGTGGTTTTTTTTTGGTCTTTAGTAATTTTCAAATTCATTTGTTTTTAACGCAAAGTCTCTTGAAGAACGTAAGACACGAACATGTCGAAATTGATGAAGTGTGAAAAGATACAGCATAATATTGTTTATTATTTTGTTCTTATACGCTGTGTTTATTTTTGTTGAAAATCACTTAGTGATTTTTTTCCATTTTCCATTTATTTAGGTTAATTTCACCTCACTTCACAATGCTTGCTGAGGCATTTGGCAAGGTATCTTGTGCACGTGCGTCCAATGTGTGTGCGTGCGCATGCGTGCACGTAGAACACGCGTGTTTGTATATGGTTACCTATATATGTATATATCTCATAATGTATATTATATACAACGGGAATATCATGATATGATGTGATGTATAGTGTAAAATATAGACAATATTTTGATGAATTATGAGCGTGTCATTTTTCATTTGACCCAAAAATGTCTGGTAATGTGTTTTGAAATTATCCTATCTGTAATTTTTGTTGACGCAGGAGGTTAGGCATTTCATTGCGTTTTACAAGCGTGATATACTGGCCTTTTTTGTAAATAATGTAGAAAGACGACCTCCTCCGCGGATCAAATATGACCGACTTCCTTGAAAGCTTGCCGCGCAACCCTCTGATAGACAATTAATAGATTCCCCGCGAGGAATACGCGACAAGCATTCAAGTGGGTCGGTCGTGTTTGATCCGTGGATCTGTTACTCCGCTTTTTTAAATGTGACCTAAGCGTAACGGAGTTTTGACTATTGCTGACAAAAATCAACGGCACTGTCTGACTTGAGGAAATATTACTTTTTAGTGATTTAACTATTATGTACGCAGTTGCGGATTTAGAGGGGGGGGGTCAGTGGGGTCATGGGGTTGCTAAAACTAAAACTCAGATATTAAAGTGCTCGTAACACACTTGTNAGTATGACCACCATTTACGAAGTTTAACAAACGATTCTCAACAACAGCTGCAACAGAATTATTTTCTTCTTGTGCGAAACTCTCCCCAGAATCCAAAACCTATTGGGAATTTTACCGAAGAGGGAGGGTTCTACCTTGATAAATCAGAACTTACAATCAGAACTTCATCCTGTGCAAGTATATGCACCAATTGTATTCAACAGGTGCGGCGAGATTACGACTTTTTCGTCAAAGAAGGGGATGTTTATATCTTAGCCTTGATGAAACTACACAACAGAGCCAAAGACCCTTCGGACAAATATGGGTGCGGAGAGTACGATACCGTCTCCAACCCTTACCCTCAAGTGGAAGCTCTGCTCTTCGCTTTGGAAGAAATGTCCAACAAGACGGGGATCAACTTCGGGGCGATAGTGTATGACGCATGTGACAGTTCTGTCAGATTGACGAATATGCTTGGCAACTTTTTCAACAACGAGACGGGAGATCCACATTTTGCGTTGACCGTCAGGGGTAAGCCGCTGGATATCAACAAAGTTGTTGGGTGTATTGGCGCCTTCACGAGCACGGACACACTGACCGCTGCAGCGTTCTTGACTCATATGAAGCGTATTTTGGTGAGTTGAGGCGCATCATCAAAACCTTTATTTTGTTTCTAGAGTAATAAAGTCGACTGTGCCAAATACTGGTACTGTTGATGTAATGAGGAATTACTTACAACCGATGTGATATGTTGGCAAAATGTGCAAAGAGTGTAAAACTGCTACTACATAAAACAAGTGGGCAGAATTTTGCATTAAATGCTTATGAAAATCAAACTTGCTTTAAAGTCACTAGAACCTCAGAAAAGATCTCATTAATGCACTTTCACTATTGGTTCACTGAAAATAAAGATAACTTGTTGACTTTTGCAGCCAACTGGTTTACGGCTGCAGTGACTGGTTTACATAATCAGATATTGTAAACCACACAAAATTCAACAATTTATGTGACTTCATATTGATTTTTATGTTCCACAGGTCAGCTATTCCGCATCCAGTACCCTCTTAGACGACAGAAAGCGATTCCCATACTTCCTACGAACTCTACCATCTGACAGCAAGCAAGCTAAAGCCATTGTAGATATCATCAAACATTTAAAATCTAATTATGTTCATCTCGTGCACGTAGACAACGACTACGGGCGCACGGGGGCCTCGGCGTTCAAAGACCTTGCCCAAGAGAATGGTATTTGTATAACTCAGTCTACTCCCAAAATCCTTGACTTAGACGGGGGAAATGCCATTGGGATCGCTGGGCAATTATTAGACTCAAACGATGCCAATATTGTTGTATTCTTTGGTGAAGATGATCACGCCATTAATTTCCTGTCCGGACTTAAGCAAGTCACAAGGGACATCATGAGACAATTTGTGTTCATTTTCTCCGAAGCCATCGCAGACGGGGAAGCCGAAATTCGGCGACAATTCCCTGATCTTGTATTAGGCTCCATATCGCTAAACGTGGACAATCAGCACAGGTGGCACACGTCATTTTACAACTACCTTTCCAAAAAGACTCCCGACTTCTCAGCTAATCCAATATGGTTTAACGAATTCTGGGAGCATAATTTTCAATGTAGTCTGAAGAACAGTTTCTCTAAAGACCGTAGTCTTTGTACGGGCAATGAACGCATTGCTGAAGCATCGGTGATGACAGGAAATCCATGGGTTCCGCCAATAATAACCGCGGCGCTGGCGCTAACGCAGGGTCTGTCCGAGCTTCAGTGCCTTACCCCCCTCTCCCAGTGCGCCGTAGAGGACATAGTATCCAGCGTCGCGGGCACGACGCTGCAGTCGGAGCAGGCCACGTCCTTCAGGCCGTTTGACGACAATGGGAATGGACTCATCGGATACAAAATATTTAGCTTTCAGAAAAACTCAAGTGGAACCATATACAAAGAGGTTAGTAAATTATTTTTAAATGTTAATTCTTTGTTATGAAACAGATAAACCTATTTGGGATATTTTTTGGATATTGATCTTCATTATCTACACTTTTTATTTATTTTAACAATTCAGAGGCCAATTCCAGACGTACGCAATTCCAATGGTCCTTTGACAATGGAAAAAATCACGTTTTTTATCATCTGACAAATACATGTATTTCGCAACCTTCGATGTTGAATATTGTGATATGTCCATTGGAGTGGATTGTTGTATGTAATGTTAGCTCTTGCAGTGAGTACGTGAACATGCAAGCTAGTGTGTGTGTGTGTGTGTGTGTGTGTGTGTGTGATTGTGTGTGTGTGTGTATGGGCGCGCGCGTGCGTGTGTGTTAGTGTGTTCGTCAAGGTATTCATAAGAAGATCCACATAATAAATTCACAGGTGGTTATTGTATTTACATTATCCGAACTTATGAACCAATGAAAATATGTTCGTGAGAGAACAGTTTCATTAGCTCTGTATGTATCAATTTAAATTATTGTTTTTCTTTTTATCAAGAGCTTATAAAATATGTGGGTATTACCTCCAATATTTCTGTGACTGTCAGTCACCATCATCAGGGAGTAAATGACTAGGGTCATTTCACCTGGAATGAAAATCCAGGTCAATTGCCCCTTATCACTGGCCAGAAATATTGGAGGTAATACCCACATATTTTATAAGCTCTTGATAAAAAGAAAAACAATAATTTAAAAAATATGTTCGGTTGTAAAATAATGAATGTTAATTACAGGTTGGTTCTATATCCCCCAATGGCTCACTAGTTGGTCTCGAGGGCAACGTATTTTACGCCAAAAATGGTGACGTCAACAGCGACTTCCAATCCACTTGTCAGGGCGCGGTTAAAGGCTGTGACTTTTGCGTAGTGAATGATGGAGAGAAAGAAGAAGGACAAGAAGGGCTTGTTACAGCCCTGGTACTGGTGTCTGTGGTGCTTGCAGTAGGCCTCGTGGCTGTGGCTGTGTTTTTGTATACTCGGTACAAAAACGGTAAGTACCTCTAAAGTACAGGGGTGATGCATTGTTTTTCACGTATAAGTGATGACAATAAGAATTACTAATTTAAAATTCAGTAACACACTAATAAAATTGATTTAAGTACTTTGAAAAAAATTGAAGAAAAATCGATAAAACATTTGAAATCTTTGTTTCAAAGATGAGATGATTACATATATGTAGTCACTTTTGAAACATCATAATAAAGATTTTATTTGGCGAAAAAAAATTGGTTTCACCAGCTGTTATCTTATTCCTTTTTCAGACAACTGCCAAGTGATAGCAAGGAGTTGTCTGGTCATCCATCGCCCAACATCCTCATCCTTCAAACAAAATGGTGTTCTTCACAACGAGACTCAATCGCAAACGCCCATCCAAACGACAACACAAGATGACGCCGATATAGACTCCATCTACACGACGCCCGTGTCCGATAATTTCAATCGACTGGGTTTATTTTTTGGCCTTACTTCCAGCAGCGTGGACGGGAGCACAAGGAGTGCTGATTCTGACGTGGGTGCTGCCAATTACGGCCCTCCCCTACCAAAACGCAATAGCGAAAATGGCGGGCGGGGCCGAGCAAGCACTATGCCTTCAAGGTCGATCTCCTTGCCGCCAAAAGCGATGCGATCGTCTGCCGATGATTCCGAAGTTGAATCAGAACCTGCGTATTTACAGATGAACAGATCGGAACCGGGATTTCCCATCAAACGCCAGCGTCCGGCAGCAAGAGATCCCTTGTCAGGTCTTGCCACTTTACCTAGAAATAACAGAAACAGACATCTTCAAAGAAATACTCCAGACCGGGATAGTTTAGAGATGTATCGCCATTCTGAAAGTGTCCATTATCACTCCTCTCCCTTGATTGACCAATCACCGCCGGTCTCTCAACAGAAAAGTCGTCCATCAGACTCGGAACCGGTTCAGTACAGTACCTTGTCCATTCCCAGCACAAACGCGTACACTTCACCCCCGCGCGCCAGCGCACCAAGACCTACAGCTCTCTACTACCCGTCAAGTGACCGTCATCACACGTCTGGGGAGTCTGGCTCCAGCGGGCGTCTGTCCCCCATTCTTCCTAAACCCCAAGGGAACGCTGCCGTACCGTCACACTATGACCCGTACCCGTATTCGTATGTTAACAATGCCTATAGCCCAGAGCCCGCACCTCAGGGGGACGACGGAAGTAAAAGCATTAGTTCCGTAATTCAGTATGAGAATCCGACTCCGAATTTACGTCGTCACGCGGCCGGCATGATACCAAACTGGTTGGAGTCGCAAACTGATGGACTCAGGTCCAAATATGTGTGATATGCATACATATACCAGTACAAGGCAGCGTAAGCGTTTAGCTGCGAGCTCAGCTATCGACTTCTCAAGTCTTGTAGTCCAGTATGTTCCTAGCGTCTCACGTAAGGAGGATATCAAACGATTTTCTAAGTTAGCGAAGGGGTGGCGGTGACCCAGTGGCGAGAAACTTAGGAAGCTGGCAGCTCAGCTGATATCTCATAGTGCGAACTGGACACGTGGTAATATCTTTATCATTGTGTGCTTATCATGTGAAAATATGTACATCTTCATGTATAATCTACAAACAGAAATATTTATCATGGACGATATAAGTTTGTAATAAGCACAGTTAATGTTCTTATTTAATGGTACGAAACTCTGTAAAAAGTATATGATATTCTGTTAATGTATTCCACCAAACGTGTGAATCACTGTATCTTTTATTTGCTCAATGATTAGCTCATCTGCATGTTCTTAAATCCTTCTTGGATACAGTTTTTTTTTATGTCAGCAACTATGGAATGGGCGATAGTGCAGCATACAGAAATTCGATCGTGTATATTCACCCTACGTGCAGCTGTCAACTGGGATTTTCACTGCTATTACCTCTGCCATTTATTAAGTGATCATTGTTATTTGTGCATTTTTTCTTGGTCTTTAATAATTTTCAAATTCATTTGGTTTTTCACGCAAAGTCTCTTGAAGATTCTTATAATGCAAGACATGAACAATTTGTCGAAATTGATGAAGTGTGAAAAGAAAAAGCATAATATTGTTTATTATTTCATTTATATACTCTGTGTTTATAATTGTTGAAAGTCACTTTTTGATTTTTTTCCATTTTCCATTTATTTACTTTAATTTAATTTCACCTCACTTCACAATGCTTGATGAGGCATTTGGCAAGGTATCTTGTGCACGTGCGTCCACTGTGTGGGCGTGCGCATGTGTGCACGTAGAACACGCGTGTTTGTATATGGTTACCTATATATGTATATATCTCATAATGTATATTATATACAACGGGAATATCATGATATGATGTGATGTATAGTGTAAAATATAGACAATATTTTGATGAATTATGAGCGTGTCATTTTTCATTTGACCCAAAAATGCCTGGTAACGCGTTTGAAATGATCTTATGAGTAATTTATGTTGACGCTGGAGGTTTAGCATTTCATTGCGTTTTACAAGCGTGATATACTGGACTTATTTTTAAATAATGTAGAAAGACGGCCTCCTGCGAGGATCAAATATGATCGACTCACTTGACAGCTTGCCGCACAACCCTCTGATAGACAATGAAAAGATTCCTCGTGAGGAATACGCGACAAGCATTCAAGTGGGTCGGTCGTGTTTGATCCGTGGATCTGTTACTCCGCTTTTTTAAATGTGACCTAAGCGTAACGGAGTTTTGACTATAGCTGACAAAAATCAACGGCACTGTCTGACTTGAAGAAATATTACTTTTTAGTGATTTAACTATTATGTACGCAGTGGCGGATTTAGAGGAGGGGTCAGTGGGGTCATGGGGTTGCTAAAACTAAAACTCAGATATTAAAGTGCTCGTATACATGATGAACTTTAACAACGTTGATCATAATACCATGTTCGCAGACTGGCGATGCACAGGATGAAATACATATGTACGGCTCACGGCCTATTGATTGTTATGGCAGACATATACATGTACAGCGAATCTGGCTCTCTCTGTGAGAAAGTAGAAAGTTACCATTTGACCCGTATCCTTCCATCGAAGATTCGCTGGTTCCGTGGTAACTCTGCCGTCTTGTAGACACGTGGGTTAAAATCCCAAGACTATCAATGCAATTTGTCTTTTTGCTGGAAATAATTTCTAAAAATTGCGTTTGATTTCGATGATTGTACCTTGTTCGCCGACTGGCGATGTAGGGGATGAAATACATATGTACGGCTCACGGTCTGTTGATTGTTGTGGCAGACATATACCTGTAAAAAGTAGAAAGTTACCGTTTGATGCATAATCTACCAACGAAGCTACTCTAGCTCCGTGGTAATTTCGCCGTGTTGAATACAACTAGACGCTGACACGAGGGTTCGAATCCTAGACTCTCAAGGTAATCATTTTTTGCTGGAAATAATTTCTAAAAGTTCCGATTGATTATTATAAGAGGAAACCCGTATGTACGGAGGGTGGGCGGGTCAGACACGGAGCGGTCGGTAGCGTGTTTGGATGCAAAAAAAAAAAAAAAAAGACCAAACCGTCTGCAAACCATGATTACGTCAAGTCACGAGTTCAAATCCCAGGTAGCGCTGTCAGTTCACCATAACAACTAGCTGGACCCGCAACCGAAAACGAATGCCGGCCCTTGTGTGTCCTAGCAAATTACCTTTTGCATAAACGTCCGGTATAGTGTTGTCTTAGACGAAATTTGATGCTTAATATAATATAAATTTGACAATCATTTTTTTCTACAACAATTATTTAGGTCGATAAAATGACAATTTTCAAAATGGCAGCCAAAACGGCCAAACTAGAGTTTGATCAACAACAATTAAAGGTACTATAGTGTGTTATATGTCTTTTCTAGTGTTTTAGGGGCTGTAGAATCCATATCTGATGTTAATACTGAGATTGGTAGGCTACTTTTTACAGTGAGTTCAGTTACCATATGAGCTGACCTTTAACTGTCAAGCTAGACTGAAGTGCCAGAATGGAGACAATGCACCACCTCAGTAATCTTGATCAATCAAAATGAGGAGTGATAAGATTTCCCCAACATCTGTTGGATGGGAATTCTAATGAAGAATCAATTATCCTTGCCAAAAAGTAAATTTATATTTTAAAACTATTACAGTAGGATAGATGATTCACCTTTGTTCTACATGTAAACAGCCGTAAGTAATCCTTGTCATAAGCTGAGGCCAGCAAAAAAGAAGTCGCCTAAAGCATACTCATAGCTCAAATTTCTCATCAGAAATGAACTTTTTGACCCATTTTGCCTCTAAAATCACCTGTTCTTCAAGAGATTCTCAAGAGATTTCTAAAAAAAAGTTATTATTTACACTACCCTATTAATATCTCGTCAAAACTGGATAAGGTGGTTGAACTGATTAAAAAAAAAAGAAATATATCAAAACTCTATTTCGCACAATACCATCGTGACATGCACACCCAATCACATTTTGAAGGTTTTGGTCTGCAATTGTGTTAGGAGTGACAGAAAGTGTCTTAACACATTCCATCACTCCATCCACCTTTGGTGTTTGGGATATTTGGAGGGGGGAAGGTGTGGAGGGAAACAGATGAATCGCCAAAGTTTTCGTTTTATTTTCAAATTTGAAATTGCTATTCCACTCATACATTTCTATAATTTTGACAAAGAAGAACCTATGTATCTTCTAATATGTATAGCCCTAAATGGAGGACAGAGGGTCCCATTGGGAGGGGGTATTGATTACAGTTCATGTGAAATAAAATCAATTCACAAATCACAGTAAATAAAACTTGATTCATATCTCACTGATAATGCGAGTCGAAAATCCTGAAAATCACACGGGTACAACGGCTTCTCTTCACGCCGCATTCGCGAGTCACGGGGATGTGGTGCTTCATCTAATAAAATGAACATATTTGATGCTTGACTGATGATGCCTCAGAAAAAAATTATTTATCTAAGTTTATTATTGAGCGTAAACGCCAAACAGTTATTACATGCACAATAACGATGTAAATATGTCTATGCTCTAAGGGGCATGCGGCGACCTGAAGGTCACAGTGGAGGTGAAAGCGGCGCCAGAAATTGACAAGCAAAACAGGTACGCTCATTCGAGCACCTGGAACTGAGGTATGTAAGGTGCGCTTGAAATGAGCAGCGTTAATTCTTCTTTTTCAGTGCTGTAAGTAAGTGTGTTTGGTTCATAATGAGTGCAGTTTATGCATGGTTTGTGCTGCAGTAGCAGGGTAATGTTTTGGTGTTTCAATGCCAGCTCAGCTGATCAGTTCTATCAATGTGGCTGAAGTAATTGTTGGAATCGCCAACTCCGTGTGGATTCTACAATGTATTTAATATATATTAATACTATCGTGCTTCTGCCATTCAGTCAGTTCGATTACAGGATTCCGAACCGGTGGAAATGAACTGTGATGGCAAAAAGCATTAAGGCTTCAATACCGATACTGGCTGGCCGTATTCCACAGTGTAGTACATGTTGCACATTTGAAGCGTGCCAGTATGTTGTTCTTATGTAGCTATTCGCTATCGGCATTTAGTGCATGCCATCGGCATGTTGTTCATACGGTATAAGACTGATTTTTTATTTTATAGAATTTGGCATCCCTTATCGCCTCTTTATTTGTATTTAATCGCCTTGTAATTTGTATTAATGAGACGTTATGGTCATCGCATTAACCTTTTATTGATCTGTGTATTTGAGTGATTTAATTCACAAGCTGGTCATGAAAGAAAGATAAACAGTAGCAATTGAAAATGAGGTAAGACTCTCTCTCTCTCTCTCTCACTGATTGACTCCCAAAATGCCCAGTTTGGACAATACTAACAACAACTGCTGTGACCATGTTATTCCAGTAGAAATTAATCCAGTGTACCTGTTTACTTCTAATAGAATGGTGGGTAGCTTGCTTGTTTATATTGGATTAAAAGCCAACCATGCCCTTTTGTTATGGGTATTGCTGTCCCATGCGTGACCCTTTTGCACCCTGAGAAAAGGAGTGGATGGCTGAGATTTATTGAATTACACAATATAGCAGAGTCATGGTCAGTGCTATGGGACACAGGGTACCCCGTGGCCAGCTTTCTATGTAAGTAAAACACCTGTAATACTCTATGTCCCTGGTCATTCACCTTGATGTACTTGCTTTAGCCACCTGCTCACACATGGAACAGAGGGGATACAAGGACAGTTACTTACACATTACATATGCTGGGTATGTATGCTGTAAACCAACAGAGTAAACTTCTAGGTCTATGACTGCTGGAATTTTTCTGTGTGCTGGTATTTTGGCAATTGTCGTTGGCTTGTTTATTGATTACATCAGCGTCAGGCACATGAAGCAAGTTTTAGTTAGAGAACTAAGCATAAAAAAGCAATTAGCTTATTGGAGGGGGGTGGATGAATTAAAATTTTATTTGATTAAGTTCTCCTTAGCACCCCCTCAGTTTTTAGGCTGATGCATTTGGTATACCGTTGTACCCTTTCAGTCATCATTACTAATGTATAGGCTCAGGCTGACATACACAATTTTCCTAATGCTGTTGATAACGTAACATAGCTCAGAAAAAAATGTCAGATACTCAAATTGATCTTCACCAATTTACCATTGATTTTTTCCCTTTTTCTAAATATAAGCCAAAATATGCTGGAAAGATTCCTCCTTTTGTTGAACGTTTCATTAGCTTTAAGTTCAAGAGGTCCAGTTTTCTCAACACACTTCTATACTCCTAAAAGTTGCAGCCATAGGGTTTTTTATTGACTTTTTTTTATTTTGGCCTTTATTTTTAGACTTGGGAATCCATTTGAACTGCATGATACATACAATGGTCTCTCAAAACTATTTTGGTAACTTTGTCAATACTTTTAGGATGTGCATTCTCAAATGAGTGAATGATGTAACTGTTGTTTACAAAGATGATGTTATTGATTTTATGTCATACAATTTGAAGGGATCAATTTCTGTGTATATTGAAGATTTTTTTCAAAGCCGACCCTTCACTCTTGAGCACTTAAGCAGACACTCATGTTAACTGCACATTATGGAACTTATCAATTAGTAAGCATGTCAATACAGCAATTATATATTATCATAAACTACTGCAAAGCTGTTGCTGCAACCTGATATACCAAGCATAATAGAATTCTCTTTATTTTAAGCTATTATATGTTATTCCTGCTAATGTGATATACAATAAATATACATATAAACGTCTACATGGATATTTTGGGACTATAACAACAGTACCATTAGTGTAATTTGTACATGATGTGCATAGTGAGCAACCCCACACACACACACACACACACACTCCCCCCTCAAACCCCCCCCCCCCCCCCCCCCCAATGGTTGGATTGATGGGTGGGTGGATGATTAGGTAGACCTGTATAGGCAAATGTATTGGATACTGGTAATTATGGATTGGCCATTTGATATATGTAAGTATTGTGATTAGTTTATGAGTCTAAATTATTCACTGTATTTACAGAAACATAGAAATTCCCACTTCTCCGTCACACATGCCCATTGTTCTCATTTTTAAATGTGCATTCCTACTGATTTTTTGTGCCAAATAATCCAAATTTGAACCCAGATCCTTTGTAATCCCCCCTCTCTCCCTGTCTCAAGATGGCTTGTTTAGAACTTCTTATTTTAAAAAAAATCTGTGTATTTTAGTGTTAGAACATCAGCATTCATGTGAGGCATGCCAAGTGACATGATGCATGGATGATGTTTCATGCTTGATGTACCAAAGTCATTTAAACAAATTTAAAGAGCATTTAATTTGCTACGTTAAGGAGGTAGATATATGGTGATTTTTTTTTTTTTAATGAGACATTAGACTTTGGCTAATGCATTATTGCACATAACACGACAAAATGTATTTGATCAGAGGGTATTTCTCAAGTTTCTGTTTTTGGTTTAATATTTTTACTACTAAATGTAGCTGGTTTTATCATTTTTATTTACTAGTACAAAAAATTTGACTTCTCTCTTTACATGCTACTCCTTTGTATATTAATAAAGTTGTACATGTGTAAGAATATGTCTACCATACATTTCTTCTGTTTACACATACAATTTCTGTACACCTGACTTATTGGTACATTGTTCTTCTGAATAGTTGTGACGGAATTAATGTTTACTTAAGCCATTGTTCGGTTTTGTTATAAATCTGCTAGTGCGGGGTTGTAAGACAAATGAAACAGTAGAGGAACTATACGATCTGGACCACCTGAGCCTCTTGGTGATTCAGAAGTGAAATTTACTGAAGGTCAGTTTCAAAGTCATTCAGTTAGAACTATATCTGAGCGTTCAAGGTAAAACTGCTTGGCTTGTTAAGAATCTCAAATTGAATTGGGAACTTGCAACCTTCATTACAGAAATGAAATGAAAGAAACTGGGCCAAGCAATTACTAAGTGGCGTACCTGGTTGGAGTCATTTCTGGACAGGCACCGAGGCTGAGCTAGTCAAGTATGTTTAACGTATGTATACTCCTTGTACTTGTACGTTAGTGTCATTTCTCTCCTGAGCACGACAAAGCTTTAGAGGTGTTCTGGGACTCTTAGGTATTGCTAAGCTATCTAGGACAGGCGAAGCTGTTAGGTTTGTGTTTTTTATTGTGCACAAAGGTAAGATTATACATGTATCCAATGTTACATCACAGTAACTGCAATACCATAAGCCATATCACTTGGCTTAATTGTTATTATTCTCACCTACTCAGAATTCAGTATCAGATAGGAGGAAGATATATTTATAATTGTCTTGTGATCAGTTTGGAGCTAGAAAACGAACGAGAAATAGGATAGAAAAAGGGAGGATTGATTATGATGCTTATTTCAAAAATTTCAAAAAGATAAAAAAGGAATGTTTTTTTTAAGCAATCCCTATAGCGAATTCAGTTAATGACAATGTCGGTGTATTTTTAACTTTGATAATCAGGTATTCTAAAATAAAATGTGCCATTAACAGCTTAAGAGTATATTTTTAAGGTGAAAAAAAAATAAAAGCAGCAAGGGAAAATTTTGGACAAACATTCTTGAAATTTGTATGGTATGGTAAATGTGTAGGTTTGTGTGGCAGTGAATAAATGGAAGAGCATATGCAGACGAACTTAACAGGGGTACCTGGGTTGTAAGGTTAATGACGTAAGAAGATATTGGGTTCATATGTGGAAAAATTGCATCACAGTGACTGACGAAAAGAGCTGTTTTCTTCAGATATTGAATTTCGCTCAACTGGTTCTTAAGGTGTGGTTTTGACTCAACACGGTGAAAATCTTCAAGCAGCCATTCTGTTTCACATCTGAAGGGAATAAAATCACTGACAGAGAGAAAGGCTGTGAACGCTTGAGCAGATTGTGGAAAAATATTATCACTGATGAAGATCAGATACGTATTATCATATTTGGAGAAGCTACTTTGATCTTAGTTTTATTCCTTGGTACAAATAATCCCACAGCGGATCACATTTTTCATGTTTCTGCATCAGCATACTGTCTCTCTTTATTGAGAGTGGTGAGTATATTTGAACATGTATGTTTTGCTTATAAGAAGCTGAAATATTTCAATCAGGTATTTTAAGAAGTCCAGAGTGAATTAATATCTCTGAGCAAACATGTGAGGCCTATTTTTTTTTTTTTTGGAGAAAAAAATTCCATTCTTCTCTGTGCCGTAGGGCAAATATTTTTACCAAGTTGCCTAATGTATGTAATTAATATCTTCTGTGGCTCTGTGATAATAACTTGATATAGGGTTGCTGAACTGTGGCCACTATAAAGTTTACCTGGCTTGATCATTATGGTTTGATGCAGTGCCTGCAACTACATACTACAGCATAGACTGCGTCTTTGGTTGTTTTTCAAGAAAAAACAAGTGAGCAAAGTTTAACATTAATGCATTAAGAGCCACTTATATTCTGACAAGGTTGCCCTTAATTTTACATGATTGTTTGCTTGTTGATTGCCCCGAAATGGAAGCAGAAATTCTGAGAGTAGGTTCTTATGTAAACTGTTATGTGTAATTGCATTTTTTGACATTTACTTAACTTGGTGTGGCATTTGCAAAATTGACTTTTATTGTAAATATAATGAATTTGTAAGATGTTTTTTTTTTCTTACTGAAATGATTGATTATTTGAGTGTAACGAGTGTGAGGGCATGCATGTGGGGGTACATATAACATCCTTTTTACGCATGCATGCACGCACAAATGCACATTGCTATACCTGCACATGCACATTTATTTACTCAGACACATAACTAACAGAGATGTTCTTGAAAACTGTCTCTGTTATCCATGAGGTAGAGCTGAACTCTACCAAATAGACTGTAAACAAAAAAATCCCATCTCACTAATACCAGACAGGGTTTGTCTTAATTAAGTGCCAGAGTAAAATTGGTAATATACCTCACCACCTGTGGAAATTAAGGTTGATAGGGCAGAAACAGATGGGATGTCTATGGGAATGGTATTTTCTTTGAATCTCAAGACATGACTCGCTAGCAGATTTAAACTCAGACGCAATTTCTTTTTTTTTTTCTGGTTTAAAATCTGCAATCTGTTGTTTTTTCCCCTTGATGGTTTTCCGACCTTAAGTGCCTCCTAAACCCCGGGCTGTAAGGCCACCAAGCTATTTCTTCCTACACTTTTTCTTTTAACACAAATTCATGTCCATTACCTGAAAGGTAAAACTGGAAATGGCTTTTTCTTAAGAAAACTGTTGGAGGAACAGTACATGGGATAAATTTAGAATTTAGCTGCATGTGTAGAATATTCTAACCTGATACTATATATATTGATACACAAAATGTAAGGCATTAAATATGATACTTGAATTCAAATAGAAACAAGAAAGGATTAATGTTATTTTTAACCTTTGTAACTGCTAATAAGTGATGGTAGTCCAAATGGAAGCTAAAATTACATGTTCAGTAATAAGATATGAATGGCCAGCATATTTTTATATCTGAAAAATATTTTTACAAACCACAAGTAAGTATAAAGTGGCCAGTAGTAAACAGCAAACTGATGAGTGTTTAAGGGTTCATGACAGGCCCCTAGAGGATATAGAATAAGTTTTCTGGAGTACGAAAACTTGTAGTAATTTACAGATGGAGAAGGACATAAGAGATCACTACGGGGACTTAGGGATGAAATAGTGTAACACCCCATTTCCATAGATTAGATCGACCTACTTTAGATCGAACTAACTCCCTGGGGGTTCACGCTAAATAGCTGTCAGCCGGGCGGACACGAAAGTTAATTACCCTCTTACAGCTTATAGTAGGCGGGACGGATATTTAAGTCAGATTATCTGAAAGTAATCTAGTGAGACTCCCTGCGGGGATAGATAGATCTAAAATCTATGGGAATAGAGCCTAAGTAACAAATTTCCTAGCCCAGAATTCAATGACAGCTAGGCCTGCTTTTGACACACATACCATTAAAATTATAGCTAGACCATCTGCATTAAGTTTAAAGCCTAATAGGTTCCCAGTAATATGTTTTTAGATAAAGAACTCTTTAACCATGAGGAATGAGCATTTGCCAGTACTTACATAATTTCCAAATTTACTTAGTTCTCATGAAAATGCAATCTTCAAGCAGGTGTTTGCTTTTTCGTTAATTAAAAAGGATGCAGCATGGCTTAGAGCACACCAGGTTGATAATAGCAAAATAGTAGGATGCTCATTTGAACTTCAAGTCTAGACTAAAAGAGGAAATTAGACAACGCAAAATTACTGAGGCTCACATAAAGTGCATGTTGTAGCAATTACGCTTAAAACTTGGTTGGTTTGAAATCCAGTCTTTTATTAAAACGAGCCCAAGAAAGGTGCCGTATGCGTCATTTTATGGCAACATTGATTATGGATCCAGTTTAATGGTTCTGTGCCTTTTATGTAATCAGCTCATGGCTACAATGTCTGAGGATACATTTTGAAATGCTGACTACACAGTTTATTGTATCTCGGAGAGGGCGGATCGAGATAAGCTTACTAGCTAGGCAAGTGTTAATAGTTTCCAGGCCATGGGGTCCTTTTGCTGGGAAAAGGTCCCCACAAAAATTTGATCTAGGCACACAAAGGTATTTAATTTTGAAGAAAAAGACCCTCCCCCCCCCTTGAAATTGCTGGCTACGGGCCTGGTGCCTATGTACCATAAACAGCGGGTCGAGGGTTAGATTAGCAATATTTTTTATTTGAAGTGGCCAAACTAAATTGTGAGTTTACACTAATACAGTAGATTTATGATATAAAATGTATTCATGCGACTTGATGGGCAGTGTATATAATATGTCATTTTATTTGTTTTAAATGGGCGGTTTTATCATCTCAGACTTTTTATCAATGTTAAGACATGTAATAACAACTGTCTTTAATTGTGATGTTATAAAGTAATTTCAATGAACAGGAGTGTGAAATGAGCAATCAAAGATTTATGATCTTTTTTATCTATGTAATAACCCTTGCCCCTGTATAGCCTATATAGCCAGGGCAGGACAGACACTGTTCAAGATTTGTTCGTACACAGGGGAAACTTAAAAGATGAATTGACAAAATGGAGTATTTTGAAGTAAAATGCCATACACTCAAGGTGGGATTTTTACAGCCATCATTAGCTATAGTAACAAAATCCTAACATCATCCTTAAATTAGCGAAAGTACCTGTACATTTGAAATGAAGGTTAAGTGAACAAACCACTTAAAAAAAGCAGCAGTTGATAATATTAACTTATAAAGATGATAAAAACCTAATCAATCTAAAGAGACTAAATGTGTATATGTTTTTGTTGATTATAGCAAGGTTTTTGATGAATGAGTGAGACAACATGCTTCATTATAGATAAGGTTAAAAAATGTTTGATCAACTCGACTTCGGGCTCATTTCCACTGAAACTATCATTCTACATAGGTGGATCCAACTTCGCAGAGACTCGCGCTGAATGCAGTTAGATTAACACTCCTTCTTCTGGCATTGAGTATAATACAGCCAGTGATTACACGGATATGTTGGAAACAAGAGGAAATTTGAACACCATGGCTCATAAGAAAAAAGCCTTTTAGTAGGCTCTACAGAAATGATTTACTTTATCTCGTTGTTAGAAATACTACTTCATATTTTCACGCTGTTTGAGTTTGTGAGTGATTACCATAGTGGCAATGGGGAACAGACCCCATATGTGGTGATATAATAAATTTAAGAAAAGTTGATTGTGTTACCGCATGCTGATACCACACGTAGGGCTATGAGGGGTTGCCTAATCAATATTGCAACAACTTGTGTGATAACTTGCCATTTGAGAAAACTGGTGAATTCAGGACGAGGGCTCTGGGACGGTGGCAAAAAAGCATAATAATATAGATAATAAAGATTTTATAACGCTTCATTTGATGTGTCTGTGCCATGGTAGAGATAAAGATCTATAGGGAGATTTGCAGATTACCTAGTAGGCAGCAGATTGGCCAATCATGATTTTGGCATCGACAAGCATTTTTTTTTTTTTTTTTTAGGCACAGGCCTATTAACACTTACGTTACATGATCAAATTATGTTGGAATTTGATAAAATATTCTAAATTGCCCATCAAGTTTATCATAATTTAATTCAAAGAATGCAAAGAAAGCTATTAAGCAAGTTTTGTTATTTGAAAATAGCATCTCAATTTCTCTGGATCTTATCATATCTTAGTTGACCGTTTTTAGCAGAGTACAAAGTCAAAAGTGGCTTATCTGTCATATTGTTTGATAATAAAACATGTTAAAAACATAAAGACTTTACTACAAATAATTCTGGAATTTATAAAATTTAATTTGAGACCACATAAAGGCTCATAATGGCTTAAGATATTGCAACATCTTGCTTTCCATGAACTATTCGAAAATTGATCAAGAATATGCATCTTGATACATTGTTAAGAAATAATTGATAAGTTGAAGTCGACATTGGGCATCAAGAGAAAAATATTGAAACTCGCCATGTTTTGTCTCCTGTGATTTAAATTAAAAGCAGTTGTATTGATTTTGAAATATTGTACTTTTTCTTGGTGTCATTTTCTTGGTGTAATTTTGGTAAGTTGTATAAATTAACTCTCATTGAAACTAATGCTGATTTAGATAATGATGTTAGTGAGATTAGCATTTGATATTTCACCAGTTTGAACTTTGTACTGTATGAGCAATTCTTTACTGAGATTTATTAATAAATCTTGTGTTTCTGTTGTAGGTATGATTCCCTTGCCACTGCAGAAATATTGAAGAAAAAGAAGGAATGTTATTGAAGCGGACACATACATAATGTACTAGTAGATGTGCAGTTGGTGAAGCCAGAGAATCGGATCCTCTTTGATCATATAAATGGGACAATGGATCATGCTGAAGTGAGAGAACTGACTGGTACCTGACCACAAAACCATGATCCTTATGACCTCCAATTACCCTCTACCTAAACAACATTGAAGCTTATGGCTTAGGAGTCCAGAACCATGCTGCTTTTTCCTCTCTTTACTTTGCTTTGGTTTTGCCTTGCTGCGGGCAGTGCTGAAGTGACAACGGCTGGAAGCACCACCATCAAAGACAGTAGTACAGCACCACCTAGCAATAACAGTGACAGTTACAGTAACAATAACAAAGAGACCATTGAGGATAATGACACCATACAGAGAGGAACCATCAATGGTACCTTGAGTACCGTTAGCACAAAGCACCCTAGTACAACCACAAGCCGACCCCAACCATCGCCCAGTGACAGCTCTGGCGTTGATGTGATTGATCTCGGCCTTCTGCATGGTACCAATGATCCTCATTTTATTGATATAGGTGACAGTAACGACAGCAGCCATCATGGGAACCATTCTGTGCACTCCACGGATCACCCCACACATTCCCACGAGGGAATTCACGTCGCCAGTTGGAACTTTGACTATGTGAAAGCGCCTTTGGTCATAACTCTTTTCATTACTGTTGCAGGTTTTTGTAAATTAGGTGAGTGAACTAAAATCAGGCTAGATTTATGATTTATTTAGTGCAGCTTAAAGAGCTTGTTGTACTGTAAGAGGGTCGATATAAAGTCTTAAGTCGCATTTTACAGTGAAGGCAGGTCAATCCTTCTATTTTGGCTGTCTAATTGAGTTAAGCTTACCAAGGGCAGTAAATATTAAAAGAATTCCATACCACCTAAATCACTTTTCATTAGGCAATGATAACATTTATTTTAGCAATATGTGCATGGTCACTTGTCGTATTTAGTTTGAAAAAAAGTCGACCTCTTTCTCTTTGTCAAAAATAGCAACTCCTCTTTTCTCCCACCTATGTCTCCACCCCCCTCCCCCTCCATTCACTGGGTGTGGTGTGTGACCAGTCATAGGCAGCAATAACTTGGCCCACAAAGAAAGGTCACTGCAAAAAAAGTCATTCTCTATTTAATTCTTCAATATAAACAGGGTTCAGATGAAGACACCAAATGGCCTTAACATTTTTTTATTGTACTGTAATATGTAATCCATTATGTCAAGCATTCTGGTCATTTTAAGATATCAGCAAGAATATTTCGCTTTTTTATGTGTATAGAATTTTAGTAATTAGATCAATCATTGTCGTTGAAATATATATATATATATATGTATCTTGAAGTTGGCAACAGAAGATATCCAAGACGGCATAAAATTGTGCCCATTTAGTAACAATTTTATGCCATGTCATTTTGGCTGTGAATAACAGATAAGTAATACCTACATTCATTTGAAACCTGTATACAGTTACTCGTCAATTGTCGCAGTCAGCAGTGATTTCCTTACCAAAAGGTTTCTCATGTAACAGTTATTTTTTTAAAAGAAATGTCATCGTTTCAACAGAACATTCATAATGGTGCCCTTCATAAATGAAAATACATTGGTACAATGTGTGTATGGAATTTTTTAAATGTGATTTCCTGTCTTTAGTTCTCAATTTTATTATCTGATCAGACTCTTATTTAACTCCTTTTTTATGTGAAATGTTATTTGCGGGGGTATGCCTCTTTTCTCTTCTTGGAGATTGTTTTTCTGCATCAGTGGGCTTTTTATAATCACGCTGTTTTGTACTGGTAACATATGTGTCTGCTTGAACTGTGCTCAGGTTTAAACGTACTTTAAGCACCTTTGGCAGGGCATTGAATGTGCATGCAATGGGCTCGCTGTAGTAATTTCACAGATTTAAACAGAAACTGTAAGCTGTAGTAATAATTAAGATTTTCTGAATTGATTGAAAAGTTCTGAAAGTTGAATTGTGGCCATGTCAGGAAAAATGTTTTAGGAATAGTTGAAATCATAATTCTAGAACAAAAATATTGTCAAAACAAAAGTCAGCTGTGATTGATCACCACATAATGAGACTTGTTTGATGTATCACGAAATGACCCGATATTTCTTATCATCCCTCCTCAGACTTATATACCCTAGATTACTGAGATATCTGAGAGTAAAAAGGTCACCTTTTCAACAAGTTGAAACAAGACCAGATCCATTCACTAATTCGGCTCAAATGGGACATCGATCCTTCCATTGTAAAACCCAGACTGTTTTGAGGCAGAGCATTCCCAAGTGTCCAATCCATGACATTTGTGCTGCACAAGTGAATACACAGCATCCAAATGTCTTCTGATATAATCAGCAGTATTGTGTGGTCCAAGAATCCAATCAAACCATGAGGCTGAGGATGAATTAACTGTATTGGCCATTTTGGTTATTGAACACTTCATTGATTGCATGACCTGATGGTTACCTTTAGGACACTTAAATGTCCATTTGGTAAATTGGATTTGACCACCTTATTTGCCACAACCTGTTGGTTCAGCCAAATTTACTTATATCTTAGGAGTTTGTATAATTCTGTTGTCCAGTTTGGGTCTTATGGTAATTACTATATATCTGACTGCTGTAATCCAAAATGGATTGCTTAGTGTGAAGTTGTATTTTAAAATGTTTTGATAGATACTTTGAAAAGCTAATGCTCATGGACTCAAAACTGTGAAGGCTTATAGGAAAGCTTAATGTAACCATTACCCATACCCTTACAGTAGTCATTCTAAATAAATGTGATATGCTATTGATACTGTACATGATATTTTATGGTTGGAACTGGAGAAATTCTGTCTCTGTGCTGTTGTCTGTCTGATGACACATGTTGTGCTGCAGGGCGTAATAAAGATAGGGTTCAGCCAAAATTTTAAAATGATTCCCAAATCTTTTTTTTACTGACACAGGCTGTTTGGGCTCCATATATCAGTAAAATGATAATGAAAATCTGAAAAAAAGATATCCCGAATTGACATGGAAAGTCCATACAACATCTAAGCAGCTGCCTGATTAATGCCCTGGACACAGAAGATATGGAGCCAATTTGGTATCAGTTAATTTTCTTTTGCTAATACAGTAATATTTATTTGGCAAAATTTTACCAATTTTTTCTTTATTATAAAGATGTTAAAAGCCACCTGAAGCATTATCCTTCTCCAAAAAAGTGTCCTCATTTGTATTTCACATCTCAAATCTGTGTTCAGCATTTAGTTTGGTTCATTGAGGCTAAGGCTGAAAATCAATTGGTTCATTTTCCTGCCCCATTTTGATCATTCTCTTGACACAATATCGGATCTTGTAGTTGAGTACTAACAATCTGAACTTCAGATCAATAACTCCTTTCTGGATCTTAACCATTATGTCCTATTAGAAGGATTACTAGAAAGTTAAATATATAATTAATAATGAAACTGACATTGATTTGATCTAAACGTATTAATTAGGCTAACTTGTTTTGTTTGAATTGGCCAAATGAAAATTTTGGTCAATTAAGGATGAAATGACAAAAGTGATTATGAAATTACAATCTTATTCATCAATAAGCATTACTAGTAAGTGAAAATTCTTAGGGCACACCTGGTTAATAACAAGAAGCAAATTCCGTGCTCTTTCAATATTGTATAAGTAAGATGTGCTGTGATTCAATAAATCATCTGAAGTGTAACAGGTGTGAAATGTTGGTATTTGATAAGAATGGTTCTAGCTACCAGCAATATGACAGTGGTAGAATATCATCACGTAACCAGTGCTTACCCAATGCACTTTCATCATCACATATTGATAATTAATTTACACTGTATTCAGACTGTTTAGGTACTGGTATAATGTACATGTGAAGTGTAATTAATAAATATAAAGCTTGGTCATTTTGACTCAACTTCACCTTTTACATCAAATCTTGAATTAAATAAAGTATGACAGGAGAGATATTGAATCTTGAGTCTGAACAATTTTGATTATCTGCCTGCTGAACAATTTTTATTTTCCATGTTTCAAGCAGACTGGACAAGCTGGATACAATTGGGTGCCATGGTATTTCACTTTTAATCTTTGTAATTTTTATTGCACGGTCTTACAAATGAGAGTGGCTTTATATAGTGTAATATCCAGGAGAGATTACCAAAACATACTGGATGATTTTTTTTCGGGGGATAACCCAATTCATTCAACTTTCTACAGTTTTCCTGTGTACAAGGCAGAAGTATGTCTACACAGACAATCATGATGTAGTAGAGAGCATATTTCTTCAATAGTTAGTATATTTCTTCTATATAAAACAGTCTGTAAACTGCTGAGCAGTAGTTGTAGATGACACAGTGCATGGGTAACCAATGGCAGTCTATATACTGTATAACAGTGTTATCAGTGAACCCTTAGATTTATAATATTGACAAGAAATCATTTCCACTCATCATATGAATATCAGTCGTGCTGTAAGTCTAGGGTTTCCTTTTAAAAGAAGACTAAAAAAATCACAGCATGGTATTGATGAAGACAAGGTAGCAGCTATGTGTATTATTGAACAGTCTTTGGCTCTATGTTCACTTCAATAATCTACATACAGTGTACATGTACAATAAAGGGAAACATTGATCAATAAAACATTTTTTATTCCTAAAAATACTATAATGAATTCCAGAGGAGAAACAAAAAATTACTGTTTATTGATGTAAGAAAATCCATTATGGTTAAATCTAATAAGCATTTTCCCCACATGACTGTTGCTGAATTTTTTTTTTTCTTAAATATTGGCAATGTTAAAGTTAACAAGTGGCAGCTTGCCATGTAGAGACTGGAATTAAATCTCATGGTCTTGCATTCACCCCCAAAGATCTCCCTAATTGTCCTCCTTAGATATTAAATCAACACAAAAGTGACATCAAAATGCTTTTTATTGATCTTGTTCACCCTGGTAAACTGTGACCCAAAGTGCCTTACCAATTCTTAATCAATAAAGCTTTTTCTTTTCATCTGACTGTAAAAATGTAGTAGTCAATGAATTTCAGAAAAAAACATATACTATTTCTGGCTTTGATTATTGCTAGCCATCAATATTGACAAAATCAAACATCAATATTTTATCAATATTCATATTATATGAGTTTAAGGTCACAAAATAATGATTACAGTACTGCAGTGTAAGTAGATTGTATAGTTAACTGCAAGTGGGAAAGTTATTTAGCTAAATATTTATAATTTGGTTTGGAGAAAAAAATCAGAAAAGCCTTTAATGTTGAACTGTCTCTTCTATAATTTGCCTGTGGTTACTAAATAATTGATTGAAATAGCTTTTATTAGTGGCTGATAGATAAGATATATCTTTAGAACAAGGTAGTAGTTTGATTCTGTTTTATAGTCCTTTCAACTATGGTGCGTGTACTTGCAAGTCTAGAGTAAAGTTTGAAAGGTTTTTGAGTAATAAAGACTGAAGCAGGCAAAAAATTTATGATTGTAGCCAAAGTTAGTATTTTAGTAAGTTTAATGTCATACAAACTTTGGATTTTGATATTTTAAGTTAAATTTATTGTTTATTCACTGAACCATAAAAAGGACCAGATTTAAGTGATGTTTTGCTAAGAAGAAAGATTGCTCGTTGTTAGCTTATTCTGTTTGGCTTATGTTATTTCTGTTTACCTATTCAACAAAGCTTTATTTTCTTGGAACTGATTTGAAAATGTTGCCACAAAACATTTTTGTGGTGCTGATTTTTTTTTTTTCATATTTTGTAGATAAGGTTGATTTTGATAAAGGTTGTATTTCACTTCAACCTTCCCATCTCATCTTTGATTCATTTATTCTCAACTTCTCTAGTTTATGTTTCTTGGGGGATAAAATGTCTTCCTTGTCTGCTTACAAAATAGTCTTATCTATGATTATTCCGCAGTTTTTTTTTTTTCAACTGAAGACTTTTTAAAAGGAGGTAATGTAACTCTCTGTAACCAGGTTCTGTTCATATTACTTTATGTACGTCTTTTTAAGAGTTTTTCATGTCCCAAGTGCAGGGGTGATCCTGGGATCCAGGCAGGTGCAAGATTTATCACACCTGCACATAGTGGAGACTTTCTGGTTACCTTTAAGTTGGAGATGTCATTTAGTTTAACTTAACAGATTAGCTAGTCTGTCCCTGTATGCCTAGCATCTCAACCAGGTTATTACAAGTGCCTATGCATTGAAAATGTACTAGATCATGCTGTTTTTTACACTAGGCTTTTTCCATTGAAAACATTTAATTGCATTTTAATAATAGAGCACTTGCTCTATTTCTATTACCCCAGAGTAACTCTTGACTGGGTTAATAAAATGCTCAGGGGAATGCCTGCTGCATACTTACATTATTACAGTGTAGTGCAATTACATTACAGCACAGAAAAGGGAGGGATGTGCATGTTACATGTACGTTGCAGATGCATTGCTGTTATACTCTCTCTTTCTCTCTCTCTCTCTCACACACACACGTGCAATATAATATTATCCACAGGTGTGAACAGTGTTTTTTTCAATGGTAAAAGAAGAGCAATTGGGGCAAATATAAAATAGATAACAATTATTTTTTACCATGATAATGCACAGGGTGTAGGGATGAAAAAATCCTTAGTTTTGTCGCATTTTACTCATCATACTTTTTTCCTCTCATGCAGGGGGGGGGGGGGGGTTAGATAAGGAGAGGCACATGCCCACTGTAAATGCATTTTAAGATATGTGGCATTTATATGACTTAACTATTATTTTTATTGTCATTTTCAGGATTCCATCATGCTGATTTCCTATCATCTATAGTGCCTGAGTCTTGGTAAATATAGATTTGTCACATGCCTATTTGAAAAGCAAATGTTCAGAATAATTACAATAATTAAGGTTCACATTGAAATGACAACTCAGTCAATGAGTGTCAGGAAAAATTTCTATTATTGCATACCTTTTTCTTGCAGTGTGGTTTTATTGATTGTATTTGTAGCATTTAATTTTGCTTTCTTTCTGTCTTCTGTCTATTGATTGTAAACAATACCTTATAAAGTGACGTGTTATTTTTCAGTCTGCTAATTGTACTGGGGACCCTTGTGGGCGTGATTTTATAGTGAGTATCTTTTAGTACTCTTCTAGTACTGGCAGTAAGTAGTATGTATAAAACTGTACCTATCAAAACAATACCTATAGTATTTTAATATAATAAGATAATACCAACCAAGGATTAGGATATTAGGCGCAACATAAGTTTTGGTCACTGCTATAGTGCAGGTGTTTGGTATGGAATGCCCTGTATTGTCTACATGAATTTATTAGTGCCTCGCCCCCCCCCTCCCCCCCCCCAGGGTTTGATTATACCGAGATCATTGGAGACCAATTTCTAACTTCATGACTACAACTTGATCATTTTATTGTGTGATAGCAATTTTCATTGAGATAAAATATGTGAAATAGTTAACTATTAAGAACTACATTGGTTGATTTTTTTTTTAGTGAAAAAAATATCAGCAACTTCAACCTTAACTTTTTCAAGTGATTCAAATTAAAATCATTGCAAAAAATGAGTGGAAATTAGCATTTTAAGAAGCCAGCAACAAAAAAGAAGTTGGGTCCTTGTTGATGATGTTTTTTTGTTGTTCATTGGTGTTTGTGTTTTATTAATTTCCATGCAAGACTGAGAAAAGTTTTTTTCTTGTTCCTATATTTCCAGTTTTGCCAGGGATGACAGCGTGTTTCCCACTCGCCTTCCACCTGATGTCTTTTTCCTGTTCCTTCTGCCACCGTAAGTTGATGAATGAATGATTATATCATTACGCGCCCAAAGCCAGCAATTCCAAATAGGAAGGTGGTACTTTTTTTTTAAGGAGACCACAATAGCATATAACCTAAATCATATTTTGGGCAATCATTCTATGGCCAAAAAGAAGGCTTTATTGAACCCCACAAACACACTGTCTATTATAGACCTGTGATACATGTATTTCACCCCTTTAAAACACTGGTATACATTCTGGGCTTCTTATTCTAGCATATTAACTTCATCTTAGCAAAATAGTGGCAATGTTTCAGCTTTTTGTAGCCAATTAAAGCATAAAAGAGTGGAAAACTGTCCAAATTTGAATTCATTGTTTTTTAACATGTGTTTTTTTGCATTATTTTATACAAAATTTAAGTTTGTTAAGTCTTAAACTGGACAAAAATCAATTAAATTGAGTTCAATGACAGAACTTACAGCATTTTTCTTTCCTTTGCAACTGATGTCTCTGGCCCTTTTCTAAGAATCGGACAAGATCAGTTTAGTTGGGGGGTCTAGCCACAAAGTGTTTTATTGCTCCAATCATTGGAAACTGTCTAAGCAACAAAACTACATCTTATTCTCTCCTACAAGATCACTGCAACACTTAGAATTACACTGGGGATATATAAGATCAAATAAGGTTTGCTAGACATCTCAATGGGCAATTGAAGCTGAACATGTAATTGTACTTGGCTGATTTTGTTTGCACTGAAAGCTTTGTTAGTTCTTGTTTCTGTGTCTTACGTTTGAAGGATAAAGCTTTCAAAGCTAGAATTCTCTTGATCGATCACTGTCTTCTGATTGACCAAGTTTGTATCACATATTTGACAGAAAGAAAACCACTTTTCTCCAAACATCTCCCACAATGCTAGTCCTTACACGACTTTAAAAGATCAAAGCTGTAAAAACATTACCGTTCAGCGTTACATATTGTCAGCAGCCCTAGTAATGTAAATGTCTTCTGGCCCTTAGAGGTTTCCCCTGGCCACATTGAAGGATGAGTTTTCTGGAGATAGTGGCACTTTTCATCTCATGACAACAGATTAGCACATTAGTAAACCTGTTATCCTTGTGCCTCCAGGGGTTGGAGATCATTGGAAGGTTAACATATGCATACGTTTCGGCATGAACGCGTTTGCTATTTCATGCCAGAAATTTTGTGGATTTTTTCCTCCTGCAGTGTACATGCTATCCCATAACAACATGCATTTGGAGGATTCTTAACTTGAAAACATAGACTATGTTTTTGGGAAAGCAGGGAGGGGGTGGGGGGTACACTTGAGACTGGAATGGGGTGGGTTAAGCAGATGCACACTGTGCTTTCCCTGAATCTGCCATTTTATAATAAGGTCGTTACACAAAATTAACTGTGAGAAACTGCCAGTGGCTGCCACTCCCATGTTAGACTCTTCAGACATACTCGACGCTGTAATTTAAGGACAAATGGTCCAACCCAAAGTGCAAATCCATAGTCCTTCGAGACATTGAATGTTGCACTAAATGAAATGAATATCAGAGAATTAGGTAGTAACAATGATGTTCAGACATTGTGGATGGACTGGTCTATGGTTTTGAAGCTTATACATAATATATTATTTTCATATTCTGTGGTATACGTAAGATTATTTTCCCAAATATTAACAATTCAAAATTTCTTTTAAAATTGGTGTTCATTTTCATGTGAAAATTTTGTGGTTTTTGAAATAAAAATTAATTATTCTTCATTTAATTTTTTGCGATTGAAATAGTTAAATCACAAAGATTGCATTCCCATAACCACCATTGGTCTACATGGCTCGCCCCAACTCGGGGACTCTTGCTAAGTGCAATCAGCTAAACAGATTAACATGTCCCTTCCTGGTGTTTTAACAGTAGGAAACAGAGTAGAATAGAGATAAGCTGGTGATTAATCGAGTACATTGGAAACAAAATGAAGCGTGTCATTCAATTAAGCTGATTGCACTTAGCACGTCCCCACAGAATTGGAGACTGATGGTGTGTTTATTGGAATGGGGTCGTAGATTAGTAGTTTATCAATCCAAATTGTAATAGATATTTATCTTTTGTTTTTTTTTTTCAGCATTATTCTGGAGTCGGCCTATAGTCTTCATGACCGTGTGTTCTTCCAGAATGTTGGTACAGTGATTCTATATGCTGTGGTGGTGAGAGTTATATTTATAGCTTCAACAAATGTTCCTACCCAAAGTGCCACACCTTAACCAAAGCATGTTTTGGTATTTTCTAATACAGACAGTGCTTTCATTGTACTGTCATTACACAGTGATTGCTTTCAAATTGAATATATATATATTTTTTTAATTTTAAATGAATATGTTACCCATGTGGTTCCATCTGAGGCAGACTTTTCATCTACCTTGGCTCAGGTACATTGTAGTATACAAGATTTCAAAGTTTAGCAAAAAGACCTAATATAGTATTTAATCTTTTTAAGTTTTTTGATTTCATTTAATTACCTTAAAGAAGGATGAGATTGGGATTTTTTCATGTCTTATTTGATTTAATCGTTTTCTGAAGTTGGATTGTACAACATTCAGTTAAGTTGACATTCTCGAATCAAATATATCCTACTGTTTATTTTCATTTCAGGGGACAGTACTCAACTGTTTCCTACTTGGTAAGTGTCTGTTAACAATATCTTTTATTATATATTATATGTAAGCTTTAGATTTACCAGTTTTAAATTATCAAATTTTACGGCATTCTTGATTAGATTTAGGTGGATTTCCTTTTTGGTGGTGCATTTTCAATATAATTTGAGTCATAACTTACAGCCCCTTTGCAAATGTTTTTCGTAATTTGTACAAGAATGAATGCATTATAATAGTTATTTTGTGTGGAAAATATTACTGACAGTATGGAGCCAGTAGGATGACTTGTGACTTAGAAAACTCATAATAAACAATTTTTTAATCAGTGTCAAAAGCAATTTTCCCATCCATCATCCTTTGCTTCCCTGATTTCAGTAGTACAAATGTGTGTATGTTGTACCCCTGATTTTCACAGAAATATTTATTAGACTTCTCTGAGTCTTTTAATTAAAACAGACAAGCAAAATTAATCAGTCTTGACAAAAATAATATTTAAAAGGTAAGTAGACTGTGCAGTACATACTCTCTGATACCACTTAGTCTAGCCATTCAATAAGTACACATATTTCATTTACTTTAAGCTAATAACGGAATTGATGATAGAAGTTATTAAGCATTGTGATGGATTGCAATATCTTAATATATGTGTTTTTATTGTCTGTTTATTTTAATAAAATCTCTTGAGTAATTCATATGTTTGATTAATGATATAATATATTTACTAGATGTCTTTTGTATTTTTTCTTGCTCTGGTTGTAGACTTACTATATTGCCAGCCTTATGATATTTCCTAAGTATCAGAGCTGGGGGGGCTGAGAATTTCAGGGGCATTTGGTTGAAGTTGATCAGGCCAATTACAAATTCATCAAAATCTTGTTGACAGTATTGATGGATGTGCCCCTGTGTTGCAGTAAACATAAGCCAAGCTTGCTGCTAATGTCAGATCGTTATTAAATCAGATGCATGCACAGATTAAAAAAAGCGTAGGGTGTACCGGTTCAGGTATACATGCCATATAATATATATTGCCACCCTCTAGCAATATATGCCTGGAACTCTTATTGCTGACACTCGAGGTGTTCTGACAATAACGCTTGGGTGACAATGTATCGTCTTGCACAAAATACTTCTTAGTTAATACATGACTCTACTAGTGCTCTCATAGCTGGAGTAGATATGCATGTGCAAGTCAAGCAGTATAATTACATGATGCCAAATGAGGAGTCATACCCCAGCCAGTCATGGTTGATTAAAACCATAATGATTAAAGCACTCACAGGGACAGTATTGTTACATTTTCTCTTGATGGATGATGTATTAATTTCAATATATATCACCGTGAATAATTTGGAAAAAAATGTAATGATCCCACTGTATTTTCCTGGCTGCTTGTTGGGAATTCATCTGACTAATTGCAATCAAGATAAAAGGTTTCTGGTGACAAAAAACAAGTTACTTCATATTACATCTCACTCCAAAGTTTCCATGATTAAAACACTGGCAGTACAGGTGCAGCCTCAGGAAAGAATCTTAATTTTCTTAGCAAAAACCATGATCCTAGCCCAATTACACGACTGCAAAGATCATTGATCCATTATCATCAGTAGAACATGAATGGTTTTTGTTTCAGTATTTTTGTGTTTTGACACACATACATGTATTGATTCAGAGGAAAATTCTTTTTTTTTTTTTCGTAATTACCTGTTCCCACATTCTCATAAGGCTGGTTATTGATTTAGTGTATAAAAGTACACAAAAAAACTTAATGATTAGAAATTTTATTTTTAGCACAATATTGTCTTGAAATGTACAGAAATAAATACACTGTAGTTCTATTTTTAGCATCATTTTGTTTTGTAATAGCAGGCTGTACATGCTATTTCTATTAGTACATACATCTATTAAGTGTAAAGTACAAAAAATTTGCTAAAGTTTTATTTTCAGAACAATTTTGTTTTACAATCACCAGTCCTACATGTACTATTTATATGTTAAGTATAAAAGTGCAAAAAAGGTATAAAAGTAAATTTTATTTTGAGCTCAGTATTGTCTTGTAATTGCAGGTCCCACTATCTATGGGCTATCCTTGGTTGGGGCACTGGGAGAGATTGATATATCCTTCACAGAGTGCCTCCTCTTCAGTTCTCTCATAGTGGCTGTCGACCCTGTCGCTGTGAGTATCTGGAAATAGGGGATAGAACTACCAGAAGACAGTCCTATAGCTAGGCTAGGCTTCTGCCAGTCAGCTATAATGGCATTTTTTCAAAGTTGAATAAAAGGATAAAACCTATTTAAGATTGTTAATAATAAAAGTCTCTTTTAAGACTATTCTAATACAACTTACTCTTTAGTAGTAGACACAGAAAATGCAAATCAGACCCTGGAAATAGTTGCACTGCATCAGTTTTTGACAAATATTTCAAATAGACTAAGTGCATTCAATTATTAATGCATCTTTAAAGTATTTGATCAAAAGCTGGTTTTGACAGTAAATATATGTAGCTTTCATATAATATTTTTTATCCTTCATTTTGTATCAACATTTTGGGCTGGCTGTGTCAAAGCTGATATTACCCAGCATTTCATTATGACAAATTGGATGGAAACCTTTCTTTAGAAAAAGAAAGAAGCATTGCATTTTGGTGATTCACCATTTAAACTAGGAGTGACACCTAGTGGTGAAACACAGGTGCCTGAAACCTGTGCATCTCCATTTTTTCTTTTTTTCCGATCAATAAGTATTCATCTCTGATGTTATCACTGATCACAAAAAAAGACAATATCTATTATCTCAATTTTCATGATATTTATCTCATGTTTGACTGCCTGTCTGAAGAATACAGTTTGCTACATTTGATTTAATGTATATTATTCTAAGGGTGGAGCTATATCATTCAAATCATTGCTGTACAAATTATTATTTTATTTCTCTTTTTATTTAAAGGTTCTAGCCATTTTTGCAGAGATTGGTGTGAACAACGTGTTGTATATATTGGTATTTGGGGAGTCGTTACTGAATGGTAAGTCATGTCACCTAGAAAATTGAGAATATCAATGATGATTGATTGTTTACACAGAAAATCTTGAAGCAAAGATCAAATTACTCCTCATCACACAATCAATATTTCGGGGCACTATAGTATTACTTGGTTGTCAGGACATAAAGGAAAGAAGCTTTACTGCTGATCATGAGGACTTGGATATTGTCTGTATACATGCCAGTGTTATTAATTTGCATGGCACAGTACCAAACTACAATGGATACCAAAAAATGTGGGCTAGCTGCTGAATGTTGAAAGATGATAATGCAGAAAAGAAAAGGGATGGTTAACAACCAAACATCAAAACACAGGAATCCATGAGATAGTAATATGTTACCCCTGTCAGGAATCCTTTACGAATGGCTTATTACATTTTATCAAATTGATAAAACAGGATGTTATGAAATGGGTTTCCCCCTCCCCCCACAAAAACAAACAAAAAAACAGATAAATGAATAAAAACAAATTCATATCTATAAGTATTCTTATGTCAGAAATTATGACTGTGCTTTTGTAAAATTTTTCATTGTACTTTGGAACATCCTTTCTTATACTTAATATAACTGTATTGCAGTATTTTAGAAGTCTTACTTGTTAATATAACTGTATTGCAGTATTTTAGAAGTCTTACTTGTTAATGGCAGACTTTCATGATCATTCATTGTGATCCAAAACACTCCATGCAGTTCTCCTGCAGTTTCATTGTTGGGACAGTAGTTTGCTTTCTCAAGCTTAATTACCTATCCATCCTGAGAGAATACCGACTTTATCTCTTCAATTAAGTTAGTCAAAGTAATAAAAGAGATTACAGTTTTTGTAGCATCTCCTCCCGGAAATTTGCTTTCTGCAGTCAAAAAAAATTTCATCAAAAGGTACATGATTAGCAAAACAGCTGTAGAGCTTTTGTTGTAGAAACTGCAAACTCGCAAGATTTAAATCCCTTCAGTATTCCAATATTCATTATTTCTTTTTTCAACATTTATTATTTTTAGTAGACCTTAATATTATTTGTCATTACGTAAGTCAACTTCCTAAATTATCAGAGCTCTGTCTTTTTAGCCAATAAGAACTAAAAACATTTTGGGGAAAATACAATCAATTGATTTTTGGAATTTAGAAATTACCATGGCCAAGAATTGCACGAGACATTTTATTAGGGAAAACATCCAGCAGTGAAATATTGACTCTGTTATCATGCCTTCTGAGATTTGTTCTTCTTCCAAATAGATCCCAAAGGGAGCAAATCATATCTTTTTGGTGATACCTAAATTACGGTGCAATGCCGCACATTAACCCAGTAGACCTTAGAAGAATGAAGTCTATAGCATTCTTATCAGAAATAATTCCCCAGCAAAAAGGTCCCTGGAGACCAAAATGCATTTTCTGCCATAACACCAGGAATCTTTATGCTGCTTAACATATAAGTACTGGTAACGACTGCTGGAATTAGTCCTGCACGACTTGGGCTCTGTTTACAACCAAGTTGATCCCCGGACTAACTGAGCCGTGGATCAAATATGGCACAAAAGCATACCTCTTAATCCCTTACATAATCCTCTACCCCTGCAGGGACAGCAAACATGGGATGGGGGGGGGGGGTATCATTAGGGATTTATGTGGCAGGCTTTCAAGTGTGCGCCATATTTGATCCACAGCTCAGTTAGCGAAGCAAATTAGTTGTGAACAGAGTCTTGAACAGTCATTGTACTTTAGCTTCTAACATGTGTGCATCATCTGTAAATGTATGTTAGGCTCTATTCCCATAGATTTTAGATCGATCTATCCCCGTGGGGAGTCTCACTAGATTACTTTCAGATAATCCGACTTAAATGTCCGTCCCGCCTACTACAAGCTGTAAGGGGGTAATTAACTTTCGTGTCCGCCCAGCTGACAGCTATTTAGCGTGAACCCCCAGGGAGTTGGGTTGATCTAAAGTAGGTTGATCTTATCTATGGAAATGGGGTGTTAGATTATGATATACATGTATTGGCAGATATTTGTGTTGAGATTTATGAGAAAAAGACCTGGCAGTCTAGAAAATATATATTGTTTAACAGTCTTACCACCTAATTGTGTTATCTTTGATATGATCTTTTAACCTGACATTAAAATTAACATGCAATTGCACTTTCATTGTCATTTGCTTTTTGGTTTTTGTAATTTAGATGTTTGATTGGGGTGATCAACCTTGTAACAAAATCAATACAATTCACTGGAAATAAGATTGCATCTCACACAGTGAAGAGGGATTATATAGATTCTTTCCCAAGGTTACAATTTTGTTTAAGTACATTGGATTGGTTCATTATACTTCTAATTAGCAGTTTATCTTCATGGCACACTTTCCTGATTATTATGTCATGTTTCAACAGAATGATTTGGCTTAGTGTCACATATGGAATGTGATCCAGACATTTGCACAGAGTTAGATATGTTACAGTCTTGAAACAGATATGGATATGTTTGAATCTTGAAAGGTGGCTGTCACCCTAGCTGAGTCTCAAATTAATAATACTGTAATTGGTAACTCAGCAGTATAAATGTATAATTTTGTGATAGATTAGCCTACACTAGTGGGCTAGATTTGGTCTTAAAGTGCAATTTAAGTTCACAAGTGATTTTACACGATCTTAATCATTACAGCAGTAGTCTTAAAATGGACTGAATCTACTTTTAAGATCAAAAATGATCTAACATCTACTTAAGTGGTCAAGCAGTTTCCTGCCCTCACAATGGGGGATACCTCCTCTCACAATAGAGGACACTTCTGTTCACAATAGGAGAATGTGTAAGGGGACACAACTTAATTGGCTGTCAGACTAGAAATGGTGTTACTCATGTTTTAAGATCATGTAAGACTATTTGTGTTCTTAAATTGCATTTTAAGACCAAATCAAGCCCACTAGTGCTATGTCCTTATTGTAATATATAATTGCACGCCCATAGGCAGGGGGTGGGTTTGGGGGTTCAAACAAATTGTCCTTTTTGCCAGGAAAAGATCTGCTCTGGGTAAAAATTGATCTAGGTGCACAAAGGTTTCATGGTCAAAGGTCCACTTTAGAAAAGAATCTTTGAAATTTCTGGCTACTGGCCTGAATTGCAAGTTTATAGGGACCATTTCCAGGCCCTATCGTACTAACTGTGGATCGATCTATCACTTAGGGTATTCTCGCTAAATTGCTATCAGCTTAAGCAGCTTAAATGTCTGTCACGCCTACTCAAGCTGCTAGGGGGTATTTAATTATCGTTTAGCAGCTTCAGTAGGCATGCCAGACATTAAAATCACTTAAGCTGAAAGCAATTTAGTGAGAAACCCCTTGGAGATGGTTCAATCCTGTTAGGTTGATCTAGGTATGGGAACCCAGTCACAGCAGTTTGTTTGAACCATTTGAAGATTTTTTTTATCTATTAGCCATTTCTGTAAAGCATTAAAATGGTGCCAGTAAGTGGTTTGTCAGAGAAGAAAAGGATGTAAATAAGTTAAGTCATCAGCAATCATCAAAAAGCTTTAGCAGCACAATTAGTACATCTTTTCTGAAATTTGGTTAATATATTTATTTGCTAAATGTGCATTAGGAAATTTTAGGTTTGTGTTCCCCATAGCAAAGTGCAGATAATGGTAGAATTTGATGCAATACTTTCTCCCATCTATTGACATTCTAATGACTAATTGTCTTTTTTTTCTCAAGGCCACTATTAATACTGTAACAGTTAAGTGCTATAAATTATCATGTTGATGTACTTTGCAGATGCAGTGACAGTGGTTCTTTACAACACAATGAAGAGCTTTCTAGGAATTCACGAGGCAGATGTAGGACAGGTATGTGGTTAATAATGAATGGATGGGTTGAAATGATGTTTGAGTGGATGCCAGAAAAAATGAAGAGATTGATGATTGGGATAATGAATAAAGCAACAAATTCAATATTAATTTGTGATAAATATCATATCATAAAAGGATATGGCTTGAGCATAAGCAAGGGAAGAGGGTTTACAGAAATAATGGTACTAGTACTTTTGTCTGGGAAAAGTGTTGCTCTGAATCTATAAATACGTTACATGTATGGATATGAGGTTTTGCAGTAAAAAGGTGTATTTTTTCAGCAAATTAATCTTTCCCTTTGAAATTGCTACCTGCAAGCCTATAGCTGATTATAACAGTGAGATGATAGAACTTTTCCCAAATGTCATCAGTTGCCCTGAATTCTATGATCTTACGATCTGTTATCTATCTGCTCATCCAAGGGGAATTCAGATATTATTAAAAATTATTTATCCTAGCTTTCCTTTTTTTTTCAAAGATTGAACCTGGTTGAGTGCACCCTGCTAATGATATATGATAATAATTTAAAATCTACACTGATTTAATTCATCCATGCCATTGCAGATCTTCCTGGCAGTTGCAGCGTTCTTTACTGTAAGTTTAGGAGGTCTTGCCATTGGAGTCGTGCTTGGAATTTTAACAGCCTTTGGAACCAAGTTTACAGAGCATGTGCGGGGTAAGATGGTATTTGATATATGTTATTGCAGTGAAATCCAACTCTATTTTTTAGCAACATGTAAGCACCAGTTTATATTTAGCATTTGCTTTAATCTTGCTGATACTGTACCTGCATTAAATCTTATGTTGGACTACAGTGCCACTATGCGAATTGTACATTGGCATAGTAGAAATATCATTATCTTGTTGTTGTTGTTGTTTTTATTAATTTTTCTGATTATTTTAGTTATGGAACCAATGACAGTCTTCACACTGGCATACTTGTCCTATCTGACTGCTGAGTTGTTTCATTTCTCAGGGATTATAAGGTACTGATTTTGTTAACTTATTAAAAGTTAATGCTTTTAATTATTTCTCTTGTTATGCCCATCCCATCCCTTTGAAATAGTCTGTACATATAATTGGGATTGCATATTATTTAATTTCATTTAAGTAATGAATACATTTATCCTGACTGTGCAACAGTTGTGCAGATAATTAAGATTTGGCTTGTATGTTGTTATCCTTTTGAAATAGCATGCACAAATACCAGGTAACTTAATGAATTACACATTATTTTACCTTAAGTAAAGTATTGATTGTATATCCTGACAGAAAGAACAGTTGCATTTTTTTAAAAATTGATCATTTTTGAATCCGATGTGCTCTTTTAAGGAAGACACCCCCCCCCCCAAAAAAAAAAAGAAATTGAGTAGTTGAAGGTTTGATTTTTTAAATTTTGTTGCATTTCTTGTTGTCATTTCAATGAATCGTTAGTTTTGAATAGTCAATCAGACAGTGTACAATTTTCCATTTTTTCTATTGCTGTTAATTACACTTTTACTTGCATGCATACTGTAATAACCTACAGTTTATTCCAATACATGTCTATGTTCATTTTATTAATTGATTTTGTTCTTTCAGCATCATAGGCTGCGGTCTTGTACAAGCTCAGTATGCATTCCAGAACATATCCCACAAGTCTTACACCACTGTGAAATACTTCAGTAAAGTCTTGAGGTAAGTGCCACACTTCAGTCCATTATGGGTCTCTATAATTTATCACACAGTGCACTGAATTAGAATGGAAATCTGCAAGTATCTAAAAGCATATTCAGAAACCCTACCAAATATCTTTGGTTAGCTGTCGGATTCCTGTTGCAGGTTGCTTTTGATGAATCATTATTTCAAAGAAGTAAGTGATATTTAGCAAATGTTACTGTGCTAGTAACCATGGACATGCAGGCCCGTAGCCAGCAATTTCAAAAGGGGGGTTCGTTTTCTGAAAAAGTGGACCTTTTTCCATAAAAACATCATGTACCTAGATCAAATTTTACCCAGAGTGGACCTTTTCCCAGCAAAAGGGGTGGTTCTTTCGAACCCCCCCCCCCCCGGCTACAGGCCTGACATGGACATAGCCCCTGGATCATTGGATCATTTCAAGCAGAATGGGCTGAATTTTGTAGGTTCATCTCAGCTCTTACATTGTGTGTGTTGTTTGTGCATGTTTATGGCAAACCATGAAGTGTGCAATGTCTTCATTTTCTGCCTCATAAAAGGTTTTTCTTGTTTCCCTCTGAGAAGTGATTTTGCAATGATTAGTTGGGACAATAAGCACAACCAAATTATTCCTAGAAAAATCACTTGTAGCCTGTCAGAAAAAAAAGATTATGCTGGATTCTCACAATAGCATTTGAAATTTAGTGACGATTCAGAAGATAACAGGGAATGATCTTAAAAATTGTCACAATTAAACCATTAGTTACCATATATTAAGTTTGGCTCTTATATATAAAAAATAAGGTTAGATATTATGTCATACTCATAGATTTTTGGATGCCATCAGCTAAAAAATATCAGATCCATTTTCATGATCCATATGATGCCTGTAAAGTATGTCACTTCACTTTCCTGTAGCATTGTCTTTGTTACTGCATGGATGTACAAAATCTCATGGTATCAGAAAGTGGACATTTTATATGATGTTTTAATGGATACAGTACATTATTTTTGACAGTCAGGAAGTATTTAGGATATAGGGTGGTATTGTAATGGAAATCGTAGATCACATATTATTACGTTACTATTGAAGGAAATTAGATTACAGCAAAATGCTTTTATGTATGTGGTCCCCAGTGCTTCCGTTTATGTAAATTGTCAAATTATCAAAGTACTGTTGTTCAACCAAGAATGACAGGTATTGCAAAAAAAAAATTATTTATTAATTGGATGTGACTTGAATCTATGCTGTTTTTAGTTTCTTTTCAAATCTTATTTTGAAGATTTAAAAAGCTGCATTATATACTGTCTGGTGAATAAAGTGACAATGAAGTCTTGTAGACGGGCGGTCTGTCTCTTCTTATTAGTTTAGATCGGATGATCAGTGATTGAAGTTGAATTTTGAATTACACATGAGAATTTTTTTAAACTGCCTTTTCTTGACAAGTAAAGGCAGCCTGATTTAGTAAGATCCGTCTTAGCAGGGCAACTTTAGCCCAAATCTAGGTGTAAACTTTCAGTTCAACATAAATCCATCCATCTTCTTATATAAAATAAGTATTGGTCAGAAACATTACTAATTAAAATAAATATCTTTCCTTTTGAGATGTACTATTAAACAGTATTAATTCATTTCATAAAACTATTTCTGATCTATTTTGGGTTAAGTTGGACTATAATTGTCTAAAAGCCAAGACCAATTTTTGGGCTCAATTGAGTTCTTTCATGAAACAGGTTTCTGATTACGTATACCATGAGCTCAGCACCGGATTTCATTTTAACAACACATCTTCTCTCAGCAATACTAATGATGCGTGAAATGTCAGAGTACTTAGGTTTGCTACCAGTACCTGTGGTGAACCACCATACAGTGTAGTGACTCAATTCATTCAAACAGCATGAATTTTTGTAATTTCCATAATATTAATTTTTTTTAATAAGTAGAAATGTTGATTCAATAGATTTTAAGAACCAATCACCCTCTTGTCAGAAAGTAAATTTTGACCTGTATCTGAAGAGAGAAAAGATCTATATTAGAAAATGTGTCGTTTGAAAATTATAATAATTACAGTTAACTGCCAACAGAGATGGATATGACTAAGATAAGTTGACTTCACTTGAGTTTGAAGATGTATTTACTTGATAGTTGCGTGTATTTCAAGTGAAAATGAAAAACATCTTTTTACAGAACTTACATGCTACCAAGAACTTCTGCATACAGTGTATCAGTTACTGTAACAGTGAGCAATTTCAGCTTTTGTACAGACAAATAAACTCATTCATAAATTCAGTCTTTACAGTATTGAATAATATTTTTAAAATAGAGAGTGATTAATGTATTGATTTGTACTTAATCATTTCAGCACGACAAGTGACTGTGTCATCTTCATGCTACTGGGGATCACCCTGGTGATGTCTAACCACTACTGGCACACGGGGTTTACACTCTGGGTCATAGTCCTCTGCCTGATATTCAGGTTTATTGGTAGGTGGTTTCCATTTAAGTATTTAACATTTGAAATTTTGGTTTGTTTTTGTTTAATTAAATACTTTATTTATGTGAGAAATGTTATTGATGTGTATTTATTTATTTTTACTTAGTTGTAATTTTTTTTTTTTTTTTTTTGGTAAAAATTCTGATGTAAGTTTTGAACGTCTGTACCGGTAGTATAATAATATATTATACACTTGTTGTAAGGATACTTTAAATTTCAGACTGGTATAAAGCAATTACAAAATAAGAAATAAGCTCTGATGTTACCTATATTTTACAGTGGTATACTTTCTGAGCTTTATTGCCAACCGTTGCAACAGACTCCGTGTCATAACTCTGGAGGAACAATTTATAATGGTAAGCATCTGGTATCTAGCCGTTGCAGTACAATATAATTGGCCATTAAGGCTAGTCAGCAGTACACCATGTAAAGTAGGTGTTCAATAAATAATGACATCAAGTGACAAAATGAAAAACAATGTTAATGCTTATTTTTAGCAACGGTGTTGATTTTAAAATTGCATGTTTTGTAATTGTAATATTATGTGCTATCCTCCAGCAGTATGACATACATGTAGATGTCTTTTGGCATATACTTCTCTAAGACATTCTCATTGAAGACATCCCTTTACTAACCAAGTAATAATATATGTTTTTTTTGTTTTGTTTTTTTCAGGCTTATGGGGGACTGAGAGGAGCCGTCTGCTTTTCTCTGGTGGCCATGTTGGAAGAAAGTAGTCTGCCACAAACTAGGAACATGTTTGTAACTGCTACCTTGGCTGTGATTATTTTCACAGTTGTAATACAGGTAAAGATGGAGTGAATATTTGTTCTTGAGCCCCATTAAGAACAAGAATAGATTCATTGTTATTTAAAGTGAACAACAAAGGAAAAATCGAAGAAAACAAAAGTAGAATAAAGAGTTTTTATTTTTGTTGACCCTGTATTCTTAAATATAAATAAAACAGCTGCTACAAAATTTCCTTAATCTGATAACAGGTCTTAGGCACTGATTATAATTCTGTTGTGTTTTCGTGAATGTGTTAAGTGTGACAGTGATTTTATGCTGGATGTGTTAGTTCACTCCCAGTTTTTATTAAGTTTCATATTTCACATGTCTAAAAAACTGAACATGATTATTTGTTATTGAATCCACTTTTGGTCTGTACATTTTGATATTATTTCTTACATGTAAATTTATTATTATTATTATTATTATTATTAAGGAAATAGGTGCTTGATCTTACTGTAAATCCTTCCGTTTCTAACAGGGCATTACTATCAAGCCACTTGTCAATCTCCTACGAATAACAAGACAAAGTGATGAGGCAAAGACTCTTCATGAAGAAATAAGTATACATGTAAGATTACAATAATTTTATCATGTCATATACATGTACATAGAACTGCATTGCATTGCAAACTACATCTGGCATATCAAACTTGCTTGCAAAACTACTTGAGACATTTAACCTGGCTGTATAATTATTTTTCCAAATCACTGGAAAAAACAATCTGCAAACCTGACAGAATATGTGGTTAACTGCCTATTTGACAAATGCATTAAATATTGTATTGATTAGTAATATGCTGAAAGATAAAATGTGTTTATGGAAAGATTTTTCCCATGTTTTATTTCACTCAAATAAGTGTTAGTAGTTTGTTAAACTTTTTACATTGATTTTTAACTGTGAAAATTTTTAGGTCACAGACCATGTTTTGGCTGGTATTGAGGAAATAGTTGGAACTCACGGAGAAAACTGGTTGAGGGTGAGGACATGTAACTGAAAGGAGTAATTAAAATGTGTCTCCATTGAATTTCATCAGTAAGTTGCTTGTCATATAGTTTGCAATATTTGTATTTCAGCTATTATTCCATCAATTTTCAATAACAGCTTTTGTGACATGGAGTATAATTTTCCTCACAGGAAAAAATCAACTACATAGACAACAAATACTTCAAGCACTGGCTACAGAGGGTTCCTCACACCAGTGATGAACAGATCATGGAACTTTACCAGAAAATTGCTTTAAAGTAAGTTTCAGATTTGAACATAATTGATGAAAATGTGTTTCAGTATTTGCACAGCAAAGACGACATTCACACAAGGAAAGAGTATCATAGTTTTTCAAAACTGAGACCATCAGCCTGAGGGTCTTTCTGTTTATGTAAAAAACACCACTTACTACATCAGGGCCCCGTATCTCAAAAGTATCGCGCATTGCGACCGTGCGCAAGCATCTCGTTTCCATAACTTACCCATACTCGTCCCATATAATACATTGTAGCCTCTATTTGATATAGCGATTTGCAATACAAGATGCTTTCGAGATACGGGGCCCGCCCGGATCTTGTTTCGACAAGATAGAAGAGAGAGAGAAGGAAATTATGTATATGTGAATTGGTGTCAGTCTCTGATAATGCACCATTAAATATAGGCTGCTTGCTGCTACCAAACAGATTACATTGGGACTCAGTTGTGCCTTGGATTACAAAATGCCTTGTTGATTGTAAGCATCATGGTGCAACTTGTTTCTGGGTGTCAGTTAGTTCATTTCAGGTTTAGTTAGTCCTAGTATGAATGCACCTTTTAAGGGTTAATTTTTCACGTGATAACAATAAAAATAATTAAACATTGAAGATTGTTTTCTGTCCATCTTGGTAAGTGGCCAAACTATTATAATAACAGCTTTTATGTTCTCTTGCAGACAGCACTTTGAAAGTATTGAAGGAACAGTAGCAGCAAGAATGGCTGTGGAAGAGGAACTGCAGAAACTGTAAGACTGACTTTGTGGCAGATTTGATGTACTTCTCATCATTATATACGCATTCTGATTTATAATCATCTTTAAGATCGGCCCTTAAAAGCTTGGATTCAATTCAAATCTTTCATATAATCAGCTTTTACATTCAACAGTTTACATATGATTGCTACATCTGAAACTAGCAAAAATTGGGTAGTATGCAATAGGTACATGTAGAGTGCTTTTGCATAGCCAAATGTACTGCATACCCTGGTATATTCAATTTACTCATTTCTTTTTTGCTTTCAGTATAATGTACCTTTAAGTGTAGACACCTCTGTGCTACATTGTTAGAATAATTATAATAAATCCTGTGCAAAAACATTAATTGCTTCAACCACCCTGTTGGGAAATACATGTATTAATGGTTTAATGAATATAATTCAAACCTCTGCTTTAATTTGCATCTATGGTATGTGCTTTCACAGTCTTATTTTCACAACTGGTCCAATAGAGATCGGGAAAATGTGACCACTTGTCAATGAAGTTACCAGACCGAGACTTTTCTTTAAATTTTCATAGATTTAAATTTTTTTTTGTGTGTCATTTCCTTCTTTTTTCTTATAATCCAAAATTATATCTATATAGACCACCAGCTCATTTAACCTTGGACTTATAGTTATATGAGCACATGTACATCTGGTGACTTTAGTGTTAAATTGGTGATTTTCTCAGTTGACATGTTAGTTGGTTGTGAAAAGGGCCATTTTCAGTGTGTTGCTTCATTTAACAGAGAGGAGGTTTTGGAGAATGACGACGACCTGGATGAAGACTTCAAGGAGAAGATTGAAAACGAGATCATAGAACTGAGGCAAGAAGCACATGCACACACACATGCATACACACACACACATACACACAAACACACACACACAGGTGCACATGTCACACACTGTGACACATCTGGGGCAGATTTACTCAAAGGTGGGCTTCTGGTTTCAAAGACAGTTGTAATTTTTTGAATGAAGAATATTAATTTTTTTAACATGTGATTTAATGTCTAAATCATGTAAAAGCTTTTCAGTCTACTTGTAGATCTGCCCCTATGTGTTTGTGCGTGTGGTTTGTGTGATCATAAGCTCTATAAATGTATCCTTCTGTGGTTCTTTGGCAGCTTGGTTAATAGGATATATACTTCCCCTAAAGCTTACTTTACCTAAAGCAAATATCATCTTGTACTAGGTACAATGTCTCTCTTAAGCAGTAATTTTTGTATAAAATATGAGTTAACATTTATAGTCAACTTTATATATTATATAATTATGGTAGTTGTAAGTGATTCTGTTTTTGATGGCATAGAATAAGTGTGTAGAATAATTACGGTACATATTTAAACTTATATGAGAAAAAATGAAAGTGGGATTGTATTGTACTATTAATTATGGCTTGTGAGACATATTGTGACAAAATGGTCAAATTGACCTTACTGTTATTTGGCAGACTTTCATACTGATTGTTTGGATTCTCTACTGTGAAGTTACCTATTGGATAATGTTTTGTGCTACTTTGTGTGTGTGTGTGTTATATTTATGGCCCTGACACTAGAATGGGATTCAACCAAAACTATTCTTTAACTAAGAAAGCAGACTCCTGATCACTTTACAACTGCCTGCTTTCAATGAATTTCATCTCACTCAAAACTTATACTCCTGGGGATTGTGGTTTTTTAGTGAGTTTGGTAAACCCCCTCTAATTCATGGCCAAAGACTGGTTTATACTCTATAATATTGATATCTGATCAGCTGTGTGTTAGTGTGAGGTCAAATTCAGAACAGTGGACTAATAAGTCAGGGGATCAAATATGGCTGACCCACTTGAATACTTACCCATGGGGAATCTATTTAGTGTCTATTAGTGGATTAGAAGGCTAGTTTTTTAGTGGGTCACCATATTTGACCCACGGACTAGTTAGTCCACTGTTCTGAATGTGGCCTAAGTGCTTACTTATATACAGGAAATATCTTATTGTTGGTTTGATTTACAGGAGAGCCTCCATGATGCCTGGCAGTGTGGACATGTCCTGCTTTAGAAGGTAATTGTATTGGTATCATGAGAACAGTCAGCTCTGGCTGTGAAAGGCCAGTCTAAGGGTGCATTCTCAGACATTTAGATCGATCCAGAGATTTAGAATTAGATCAACCTAACTCCCTGGTGGTTCACGCTAAATTGCAGTCAGCCGAGCGCACCATAGTTAATTACCCCCTTACAGCTTTTTGTAGGCGGGACAGACACTTAAGCCGGCTAAGCTGAGAGTAATCTAGTGAGACTCCCCACAGGGACAGATCGATTTAAAATTAATGGGAATGGGGTCTAAATGTATAGTTTATGATGAAGAGAAAAAAATCCCATCTTATCATAGTTTTCCTTGAAATTACTCAGAGGGTACACATACAACCTAAAATCAGTAGATCAATAAAAAGAAATATTTTCCTCAGTAATAAAAATATTTAAAAATAAATTAAGTACAGTATATGCTTGTCAGACATAATAATATTTTTCCTCATTAAATTTTGGAACCATGAAGTCTTTTGGATAATTTTGAATATAAACAAAAAATTTTCCTTCCAGGAGGAGTACATTGCATCCCCCGTTTGATGACCATTTGTCAAGTGACAGGTACTAGTACTTACACAAATACATTATGTAGTTTGTGTGATATCTCAAAAAGAAGGATATTTTATGCACAAATTATTTTAATCATTTTGTTCACATTGAAAAGCACCTTTAGAGAGGTCAGTGACTTCATAGATTGCAGTTAGCTTCATGTGTATGTATAATTTATATATGACCACTTTAACTTCATGCCATACATATAGCTTTATTGAAAAATATTTAGATAGGCTGACTAACAGTGGTTGTCTTCCATTGTGGTAGGTGTGAAACATTTTTCCATTGCGATAGGTGTGATCATGCTTTCCATTGCGACAGGTGTGATTAGTATTGCAGTAAATGACATGGTATCACTGTTATATGAATAGGTACTTTGTGTACAAATCATTTGAGGAGTGATGCCACTGATAGTCTAAGAGAAGACAACGGGTGGATAAGAGTAATGTACTCAGTTTATCATGAGTACACATTGTTATTAAATACTTGTATCTTTACTGTATGTACCTCAGTTAAAGAACATTTGGATGACTAATGACTTTTTATGTGTACACTCGCTTAGGTCTGTACACATTAAATGATGACCAATGGGGATGCCAACATGCAGCAATTTTTTTTTCTTTTTTTTTTTTTCTTAGTTGCATGTTAGCACCTTAGCATCAGAAGATGCTCCCATTTGGGTATGTTGTAAAAAGATCTGCTTTTCAGATAGTATAATGTTTTCAAATTGACTTATAGTACACAGAAGAACCTTTCAGTAGGAAAAATATCAAATTGACAAATTACCCTTGTCTCATGAATTATCTTGGTTTTTCCTACAAGCAGGATTTGTCTTGGTGTATTGTTATATTTGTCATTTCTTTATCATTATAATGATTGTGGCAGACAAGACTTCTTTTATGATTACTTCTGTAATTAAAAGTAACTCATTTTTCTTCAGATATTTTCTTTATTGTCACATTCAATTTATAAAATTGAAGATAGTATAGAATAAAATATTAATCCAGTCTCCCATCACCAATTTACAAATTAAGAGGGAAGGAAATTGTCTAAGTTGATCTTTATGTCTTCCCAAGTAAAGCCTTTAAGGATGTGATGATTACTTAGTGCATGAACAATTTTCCGTTCCAGAGATGAGGTTGACTTTCCCTTACGTTCATCATCTTTTCGCTTGAAACGTTCTGGTGGCTCCATCTATAGGGCAGTCCCTCAGTCACCTAAGACTGCTACTGCCACCTATAGACCATTACCTCGATTGTCAACAGAGAGGTGAAACATGGCATGAAAATTGGTTGTATTTTAAAGTCATTCAGTTTGTCTTATTATATTATTGCTTTCACCTTGCTTTACAGTGGCTTACGTAAATCTTTTGAGATGACAAGGACTTGATATTTATTTCTGGCTGCAACATGTTTTGTCATGGCTTTGTATTAGACATTGTAAATGTGTTTAAGGCCTTGTGAGTATTTTTTTCAGCTTGAAAAAAAATCTTGTTTGCTACATTTAGTTATCATAGAGCTGGTATCTCCAAATAAAAACTGATGTTGAAGACTGTACAGTATATAGTGATTGGTTTGAATAACTATAAATGGAATGGAAATTAAGCGTGATTCATCATGATAATGCTGTCACAATATTAGTTTCTAACTCATTAAGTTGTCAGTGTAGAAATAATACCATATCATGTTTTTTGGCAGGACTAAGTTCCATTCTATAAAACTTTCTATCTAATTTAAACTTAGTGAAGGGAAGGGATTTTGAAAGCATGTATTTTAAGATATTACCGAGTTTTGAAGTCTACAGGACACTGAATGTGTTTGAAGATGTCTGAAACAATTCATTATTGCTTGTGGCCATCAAAATTTTTGTTTTTCATGTTAAAATCCTATATTTAGGGGCACTTGTTTAACAATTGCATATAAAATGTGTTTTAATGTGTTGTATTTAGGTCAAAACTTTTCTGTGTTTGCCCTATTGTGTGAAAATTTACATACCCTTGAAAGTTTCCCTATTCTCACCCCTGTCTGTTTATTTAATTGTGTGTTTAATTGTGTTCTGTTTTATCTAGTTTCCATTTATATCAATTTATATATTTGTTATTTTTATTATTTATGATTTAATTTTTTTTTAATTACTGTTTTGTTTTTGTTATGCTGTGTGGTGTGTGTTCAGTGTTTTTGCTGTAGGTATAAATTTATATAAACACTGATGTTTTGTTATATGTTGTATTTATGCATTGATATAAAAAAAAAACAAAATAGATTCAGATGTGTTATTCTTGATACTATTTATTGATTGTACATGGCTTGCTAAAAACAGTTAAGAACATGTCTAATGAAGATAAGTTTGTGCCTTTTGAAAACCATTCTTAAAATGTTTATTTATTAAAAAGTGGGACATTTGTTGACAAAAATTGACCAAAACTGCAATGTTTTATTTCCTTATAAGCAAGTTCTTATCTACATGTACAAGTTTATTATGTCTAAGTAACTACTGCTTTTAATACAAGAATTTGGTCAGTGTGAAACCCACCATTCCAGTTATATATGTATATATTTAACCTTTTTTTTAATTAGCAGAAATTTCCAGGGTTTCCATAAAAAAAGGCCTTTAGGATCTTGTGTCAGTTATGAGGATGATTGTACATGCACACCACCAATCGAACAGAGTAACTGATATAACTTACATCCAGGATTCAGGGGCGGATTGAGGCCGTCTTTTGAGTCTTCCAGAAGACGGTCAGATTTTCAAATTTATATTGATGGGTATCTAATTTTTTGTTATTGGAAGACGGTCAAAAATGGAGGCTGGTTCAACAAAGATAATTTGGAAGACTGTCAGAAAATATCTCTGGATCCACCCCTGGAATTCACCACTTAAATTTTCAGTTCATGTGTAAGATGATCCTGAGAAAAAAACTACATGTAAGTACATGTACGTTTAGTATAAGAAAAAACTTTTAAAGTGTCACAATATTTTCATAATTTTCCTTTTTCTCCCAGTGAAGAAGACTTAGAGACAATGGTGGAAACGCCTGACCTAGTGGCTAACCACCTGGACAGAGAAAGTGAGTGTGTGCATGCCATTTTTTTCAATAAAGGCATACAATGTGAACCATGCAGTGTATATGGCAGAAAATAATTGACCAGTTCAAAGGCTGCATTTTATTAACTTTTATTTCTCCTGAGATAATCAGCAGAGCATGTGGTATTGACCATCGTGTTGTGTTTGAATTGGATGCTGTCTGCAGATTTTTGAAAGTCACATCATGATATTTTCCTTACTACAAGAGAAATCAATTGATAAAATATATTCAAAAAAATATTTTAAGTTCTTAACCTTGATAAGAAAAGTTGTGAATGGGATGTAGAGTACAATCCAAAATAATTGTCTTTTGCAAGTAACTTAAGGTCATGAATCTGATAATAATAAAATATTTAGAATAAATCAATTTTTATAGTAATATCATACTGCCACGTCAAATCTTTTTTTATTTTCAGAATTTGGGCATGATTATCCTGATTATGATTATCCTAGGCGATCTAGCATGCCAACCAGCAAGAGACCCCCACTCAGCCCTCTCCTCTCACAAATGAGACGCCGCTTCAGCACTGCTCTGACTGGAAGGCGTGGGAGCAATGCTGCAGTCCCCACGACGCCACTGGGGCCATTACCAACAGCAGAACCCCCACCACCGCCCCCTACAGTCCAAGACTTGCATAAGATTTTTATGAAAAATCCTGCTCAGAAAGTGAGTGGCAGTTTTATGTGTCACAAATCCTTCTGTCGGAATCCCTTTATTTATTTTTTTCTGTTTAGGATAATTTTAAATAAGAGACTTCAGTCTGCTCTAATCTTTCATATTAATTTTTAACTATTGATAAATGAGTAATTTTGACATATTTATCCTTTGACCAGATCCACCAAAAAAGCAACAAAAACATGGTTCGTGTAGAAAGCTCCGATTTACTCCACCAACTGCACAGCAAACAGCAAAGAGTTCAGCGCTGTAATCGAAGCATGAGCCTGGCTTTCGGAGGTGGCCTTGTCTCACCAACCAGTGCTGACAACTCACCCAGAGACTCCCCAGCAACGCAGCACAGAAAGGCCATTGAAGCCATAAGGGGGCGTTACCGTGCTCGATCGGGTACGATGGGGAATATAGACTTGCCAAATGGAGGATTTAGGCGACCTTCCAATGACACCTTGAACATGGATTCCCATGAAACTGGTACTCGCCATCGTTCCAGCACTGTTCCAGAGAAGGAGCTCAGGAATGGTTTTTCACCAAGGAGGGGAGGAAGCCAACATACAGCACGTCTTGCCATACCCAGTACTCTTCAGGAAGTGGAGGACGAGGAAGGGAGCAATTCAGTGGGTTCAAAAGAAGACTTGCATGTTAGATTTGCTGGAGAAAGGTCGCGCTCAAGGTCATCTTCACTGGACATTGATGACCGGCGATCTAGGTCTAGGTCACGTTCTCTTGATCAGAACGGTTTTGCTGCAGGAGCAAAGGAATTTGAGACTATTGACATAGAAAAGACTGATCCAAAAGTAGATGAAAAGGAAAAAAGTAAAAAAGCTACTATTTTCTTTATAGATGATGAAAAACAGAATGATAAAGATGATGCTGGTAATGCTGATGAAGATGAAGACACAAGACTGTGATAATCTTATTTCTTTGGAATTGTTATTTTCCAAGCTATTATTAAAGAATTGTTTGCCATGATTTAAGGACAAAAAATATTTTTCCCCTGTTTTTGTATTTTTTTTTTTATTTTAATTGTATTTATGTATTTTAAGTGTTTGTTTCTTTAGGTGGATATATCGTAAGATATGAAAAAGTTTGATACTATACAAGCAAAAATGCTCTCCAACTGATCAAATTAGAAGTTGGGTTGAATTCTTCATTGTGTGGTTTTTTCTCCTTTACCAATGAATGTCTTATGAATTCCAAGTGAACAGTCCAAAAATCTTGTCCTTATTCATGTAATATAAGATTTTCTGTTATAACATGTGACAAGTGGATGCAGGCTTCAAAACTCAAAATGAGCATTTAGTTGAGGTGTGTGTTAGTGTGATGGAAAAATGGTGCATAATAAAAAGACTGAAATCCAGATGGGCTACAAAATTGTGATTGGCAAAATGTGCATAATAGAAATACAGGAATGGGATTATTATGCTGCTTAGTCCTACATTTTTGTTTAATATTCAACTTTTGCCAACCATCATATGATGCACACAATTGTTATTGTTTGAATTGTTACTGCTCTTTATAAATGATATTCGGATAGAAGGTTAAGGGGGAAATATCTTATCATATCAAAACAAGTATAAGGGTTGATTAGCCTTATGTTAGTGAAATATGCCATATTCAGAAGATTCAAGTGTAATTATTGATTAGTTATTTCAAATGTTGAAATTTAAGATTATGATAAGACTCAAAAAAATTCACTCTTGAAGTGTGGTTACTTACACTGTTTCAAATTAATGAAAAAAGTGAGGCTTTTATTGGGCATCATTGGTATCAAAAATGCATATACTGTTTTTTTATCATTTTCTCAATTTTTTCTACATTATTTACTATTCCATAGTAAGTTTCATGCTAAAAATGTCCAACACTTGTGTATTAATTTTTTGTGCTTTTGCATCTATACAGTATTATGTTCTTGTTATTTCTTTGTAATATGTATTTTCAGAATTCAAGAGCAAAAAAGAATCACCTTGAGTGTCCTGAGTCTGTGTTAACTCTCCACCATTATTAGCGTGCTTTTGCCATTTCCAGCATACATGTAATGCATCAGAAACACAAGAAGCATGCTGATAATCGTGGAGAGTCCTTAGAGACCTATGAAACCAAGAGTGGGACAAATATATTAGATATTATTTATTCTGCATTTAGTTGTTATTAAATTATCAAATTTCTTATGAATAGCTATATAACTATAGTTCACAGCTACAACGGAAATGTGATATTTTAACTAATTTATTGATGAAACAAATTTAAACTAATTATACTCCCCCACTTTAGACAAAGGCCATACCTCCCCCCTCCCCCAAACAGAACGAAAAAAGGGAAAATGAAAGCACTTGCCTCAAGTTGTTGACTGCTCTTCATTTCAGTGACACACACTGTACACTATTACATTGACAGGTAAACCAATATGGTGTTTCTGCCCCCCGAAATATCTCTCTACTGATATGTATGTTGGAAGCTGCTGCACTAGATTATGTATAATATGTACACCTCTTCTTATTCTAACTTCACGTGCATGTATCTGTCAAACTGGTGGATCTAGGAATTTAAGAAGGATGAATGAAATGTACGCAAATTTAGGCATTTTTGGTGTGTCAGTTGGCCTCAGTGTGTATTTTTACTCTTATTTTGAGAAGAGGCAAATGAGTTTGGGAGTATTCCCCAAAACGAAAGTGAGCATCCTGGATCTGCCCCTGTATCACGTACTTACTCTGAATCTGTAACTGTTCACGTATCACCTTTTGTATAACATAATATATTTGCATATATAATGCTATGCATAAATAAACTTGGAAAAATTGAGTCATTGTTGAATATTTTAAAAAAATTCCCCCTAAAGGGATAATAACTCTTCGTTTTGACCAAAAAATGAATTTTCCTGGAGTAAACAACAATTTTCCCATACTTACCAATGGTTGATGAATCCATTTTTACATTCAAAGTTAGTCCCTGTTTTTTTTTTTCTAAAATGTTTGGTTTTTTGTTAAAATCTCTTAAGTGGTCTGAAGGCGAGCTTAGATATCAGAATATAGTATAGTTCTATGAGATGTTCACAATGTTTTTATTGTGAAATATAGATCTCATACAAAGAGTTATTATCCCTTTAAGGAAATGGACTTTTAATGTGTTACATAGAGTATTGCACTACGTTTAAACTGTTCAAACGTGTCAACGAGGACGTAAAGTATTCACTAGATGAATTGCTTGGTGCATTAATTCATTTACACGCCATGGAGTGATGTGGTATCATGATACGCTCATTGGGGATATCGCGCGTGTCTCCTGTAGAACCATCTCACAAAACTCCTCCTTTTTTCTGCACTAAGAATCTGTCCACTTTACCTGGCAAATATCATATCTGATTTACTTTTAATTTCTCGATCAAAGATTTCTTAATTGCTTCATATTACAGCAGGCAACAACTGTGCTTTAATTCATAAATAATTGAGTTAGACATAAAGGGAAAGTCGTGATCAAGCTACATTTTAGAAGTCAGTGATTCTACCAATATGCCTTAAATGATACTGAAGGTGTGTTTACTCGAGCTATTAATATGCATTACTTGCTTTGAAGTTTACTGTCTAAAACGTCCAAATTGGATCATTTGTTTGAGTAAACATTATATATTAGATCGTGCAGGGAGTCGCTGGTAGAGAGATGTGTTGCCAGAGGTTTGGAAATCTTCATATCAAGGGTAAAGCAAACGCAAACTAGCAAAGCAACCAGAGAGGGGAGACCTCCCCTAACACAATACAATAATGTTCAGCCATTAATTAATCATTGGACTATCGCCAAAATCCAATCACCTTTAAGTTGGCCCCTTTCTGACCTATTCTGAAAATTTCATCAAAGTTCATCCTTTTGTTTTAAATCAGAATGTCAAACGAACCTTTAAAACGGTAAAGCAAGGCATCAGTTATTAAAAAAGAGCTCAGTTTCCAGGTTGCAGTAAATGAGTTCATCAGTAGCAGATTGTTCTTGATCGCTAAATGGCGTGCTACCATTTATCAAGAATGATTTAAAATAAAGGGGGCAGAAAAGAGAAATTTTACCCTTGACACTGTTTTTCCTTTTATGACTCAAAATACCTGCCAACAATCAAAGATTAAAGTAATGGGTGGAGAAATGAGTCGGCAGCATTTTATACTTGCTTTAAGCTCTAACAGTATACCGATGTCACATGTAGATCCATAGAAATATTGCTACACTTATGAAATTTTTAGCATTATGTCATCGCGTTATACGTGTGTTGATGGTGCATTAGCATGGTCTGCCATCGATCGTCTGCTGTACGCGATAATGAGACAGACTTAACGTTCTTTTTTATGGATAAGTTTATGAATTGATGGATATACCAGTAGTATTTATCCAAATCAAGCAAATCTTCTATTTAAGCTGATTATTAATGAGACCTCGACAAGAAGACAAACAATATATAGTTTTACGACGTCTTGTCTACTGGTAAATTGGCGTCACATTCAGTGTATTTCCATATTCAGTAGGGCCTACAGGGTACACTTTGTTTATCGTTATTTTCATCATCATCATCACTATTATTATAATTATTATTATTATTATTATTATTATTATTATTCATTTAGCATATTTTCATTACCATGATTTCATTTTTTCTAGAATTCATATCAGATTTTATTTGGTTACTGTCATTAAGGTACCCAGAACATGTACCTTCAGAGAATTTCACATAAATGCCATCTGGGCCCATTCAGAACAAGCTGATCCATGAACTAACAGATCCGCGGATCAGATATGGCCGACCCACTTGAAAGCTTGACACATTTGCACCTCATAGACACGGTATAGATTGCACAGGGGGATTAGACGACAAGCTTTCAGGTGGGTTGGCCATAGTTGATACGCAGATTTGTTAGTTTGCGGCTCAATTTTGGCTGTGAATTCTGCCTTTCATAGTTTTGCCCATTCCCAGGCCAGCGTGCCTCTCACTTTTCACTGTCATTACTTTTGTAGCGTGGTTAAATGAGCCGGAAATGTCTGTTTTGCTTATGAAAATCTGTTTGATATCAGAGAATGCAGTTGCTGTAGTTTCCGATTTTTTCTACCTGTTCCCTAGTTATTTGGCTAATTAGAAAATGGACAGCACTACAATTAGAAAACATAATATAAATAAGACGGTCGATGAAACTAGAATATAGTGTGTTCAACTTAGACCCCATTTCCATAGATTTTAGATCGATCTATCCCTGTGGGGAGCCTCACTAGATTACTGTCAGATAATCCGGCTTAACTGTCCGTCCCGCCTACTACAAGCTGTAAGGGGGTAATTAACTTTCGTTCCCGCTCGGCTGACAGCTATCTAGCGTGAACCCCCAGGGAGTTAGGTCGATCTAGTTGGATCGATCTAATCTCTGGGAATGGGGTCTAACATACAGGTTACACTTGTTGCATTTATCAGAAATAAATAGGCAAATACACAAGGCCGGGTGTTTTTTGCCAACATAAAATAGTGTACTTACCTGTTAAGGGTACTGTAAGGGTTAATTATCATCCAAATATCGAAAATGTGTTTTTTCCTGTATCTAGTTATTCCCTAATGCATCTAGCTTTGAACCTTAAAAGAATAAAGTCCCCTTGAAATATATAAATTATCGGCGTTTATATTTCTAGTTGCTACATAAGCATAGGCTAACAAAAGCTTTCATCGCCAATTAAACACCTTCTATTTGAAATAGCAAACGGTATGGGGTGTAACTTCATCCCTGAACAAAATTTTATCACGAAAATTGGCAGAGTTGACCATAGGTTTATGGGCATTAATCTCGTGCTGTCATTTTGGTTTAAATGTTTTTGTTATGGAGTTATGAGCCCCTAATTACAGATTTTCATTAAATANGGGGAGACCTCCCCTAACACAATACAATAATGTTCAGCCATTAATTAATCATTGGACTATCGCCAAAATCCAATCACCTTTAAGTTGGCCCCTTTCTGACCTATTCTGAAAATTTCATCAAAGTTCATCCTTTTGTTTTAAATCAGAATGTCAAACGAACCTTTAAAACGGTAAAGCAAGGCATCAGTTATTAAAAAAGAGCTCAGTTTCCAGGTTGCAGTAAATGAGTTCATCAGTAGCAGATTGTTCTTGATCGCTAAATGGCGTGCTACCATTTATCAAGAATGATTTAAAATAAAGGGGGCAGAAAAGAGAAATTTTACCCTTGACACTGTTTTTCCTTTTATGACTCAAAATACCTGCCAACAATCAAAGATTAAAGTAATGGGTGGAGAAATGAGTCGGCAGCATTTTATACTTGCTTTAAGCTCTAACAGTATACCGATGTCACATGTAGATCCATAGAAATATTGCTACACTTATGAAATTTTTAGCATTATGTCATCGCGTTATACGTGTGTTGATGGTGCATTAGCATGGTCTGCCATCGATCGTCTGCTGTACGCGATAATGAGACAGACTTAACGTTCTTTTTTATGGATAAGTTTATGAATTGATGGATATACCAGTAGTATTTATCCAAATCAAGCAAATCTTCTATTTAAGCTGATTATTAATGAGACCTCGACAAGAAGACAAACAATATATAGTTTTACGACGTCTTGTCTACTGGTAAATTGGCGTCACATTCAGTGTATTTCCATATTCAGTAGGGCCTACAGGGTACACTTTGTTTATCGTTATTTTCATCATCATCATCACTATTATTATAATTATTATTATTATTATTATTATTATTATTATTCATTTAGCATATTTTCATTACCATGATTTCATTTTTTCTAGAATTCATATCAGATTTTATTTGGTTACTGTCATTAAGGTACCCAGTACATGTACCTTCAGAGAATTTCACATAAATGCCATCTTGAAAGCTTGACACATTTGCACCTCATAGACACGGTATAGATTGCACAGGGGGATTAGACGACAAGCTTTCAGGTGGGTTGGCCATAGTTGATACGCAGATTTGTTAGTTTGCGGCTCAATTTTGGTTGTGAATTCTGCCTTTAATAGTTTTGCCCATTCCCAGGCCAGCGTGCCTCTCACTTTTCACTGTCATTACTTTTGTAGCGTGGTTAAATGAGCCGGATATGTCTGTTTTTCTTATGAAAATCTGTTTGATATCAGAGAATGCAGTTGCTGTAGTTTCCGATTTTTTCTACCTGTTCCCTAGTTATTTGGCTAATTAGAAAATGGACAGCACTACAATTAGAAAATATAATATAAATAAGACGGTCGATGAAACTAGAATATAGTGTGTTCAACTTAGACCCCATTTCCATAGATTTTAGATCGATCTATCCCTGTGGGGAGCCTCACTAGATTACTGTCAGATAATCCGGCTTAACTGTCCGTCCCGCCTACTACAAGCTGTAAGGGGGTAATTAACTTTCGTTCCCGCTCGGCTGACAGCTATCTAGCGTGAACCCCCAGGGAGTTAGGTCGATCTAGTTGGATCGATCTAATCTCTGGGAATGGGGTCTAACATACAGGTTACACTTGTTGCATTTATCAGAAATAAATAGGCAAATACACAAGGCCGGGTGTTTTTTGCCAACATAAAATAGTGTACTTACCTGTTAAGGGTACTGTAAGGGTTAATTATCATCCAAATATCGAAAATGTGTTTTTTCCTGTATCTAGTTATTCCCTAATGCATCTAGCTTTGAACCTTAAAAGAATAAAGTCCCCTTGAAATATATAAATTATCGGCGTTTATATTTCTAGTTGCTACATAAGCATAGGCTAACAAAAGCTTTCATCGCCAATTAAACACCTTCTATTTGAAATA